GTTCAATGTTCGATTCACCATCTCGATTTTCGGTTCGATACGTTTTTTATAATCGGGTTTGGTTAACTCTTTGAAATAGATCGGGTTCGACCTTATTTTAACAGTTTGACACACACGAGGGAGAAAATTGGGACGGTAAAGTTTCAAAGTAGACTGCCTCTGCTATCATTTATACGAATAAAGTGTTCTTAATCAACAGAACCACAAGTATCAGAGATGTGGAATTAACAAATTAGTAAATTCGGGCTAGCAAAAATTATAACTACGCATGTAATACATGAAAAGTACAACCGGTATTTTACTCATTATTTTCTATCAAGTTCCCAAACAGTGAATATTTTCCAGGCAGCATGCTCCTACTGTCAATAAATCTCCATAATTTTCTCCATTTTGCAGTACTTCCTGACTTATTTACTTCCAAAAACGATCGTTTTTTTCCTAATCCGAATTTCTTCCATTCCTCCGTTTATTGTAAATACATGCAGATATCTCATTAAATTATTTACGATCACTCACTCAACTGAAAGATCAGTGTGATTCACGTGAAATATATTTCTAGTGTATTTAAGGATTTAATATGAAAACAAAATGAATTTATTTTCATTCTAAATGAGCTAGTGCAAAATAATCAGAAAAGGAAAGATCTTCAGATAATATTTTCTGTCATAATCATTAATTTTATATGATTTAATCTTATAGTGAGAATAAAATTTTAATTTTCAAAAGAATGACCTTAGTACCCTGACTTTTCCAATGATTAATTTTTTTTTCAACATTAGTTTTATTTTAATTTTTGTCCCTATATTTGGGCTAGTAACATTTTACTTAGGGCTAGTAACTTTATTGCTGCCACTAGCCCATGGGCTAGTACTTGAATTTTTAAATTGCATACCCCTGGTAATATATTTCTATTGTATCACCACCTTTTACTCTTTTTTTTTTGAAATCTGAATACGTTTTCTTTAACATTATGAATAGTTTCGTTCTTAAATTGTATCGTATTGAAAAAATTGAATTGTGACACAAGTATTGCAATACGTATCGTATCGTGTAGGGGGCGTATCGTTTCAGCCCTATCCTCTAGGCTGCATTCGATCTGAAATACGGTGAGAATTCAGTACACTTGTACTGGTATTCAAAAACACATTCTCAAATTGTATCATGTGGGGATAATTTAGTTCATATCATTGAAAAGGAAAGATATAACAAAACCTCATACTGACAGATTTATAAGATGCATGATACTTTATGCTGAAAAGTTGATTACTGATAGGACTTACTTTATTTAGCTTTTTCATTAGAAAACTGTCTGGTTTCATATGTTTCATCTCCTGAAAATCAAAGTATTTATTCTGAGAATTACTTTAACACATGCAATTGTGCTTAGTCATCCACTAAAACACTTCCACATATATATATATATACACAAGTGTACAATAGATGAAGTTTGATAAATATATATTAAATAGTTTCTGGAACAGACTTAATGCAAATATAAGAAAACAAGAGGCCCATGGGCCACATCGCTCACCTGAGCACTAAGAGTAGGAAAAAGTAGAAAATGGCTTTTTATTGTAAAGTTTAAATCCAAAAGTAGTCCAATGACCAATCATGGATTTGCTATTTTTTATAAAATGATTTTTGAAGAATTTTCCTATATATCTCTTTAAAAACTTGGCCCCGCCCTAACCCTGGGGGTCATGATTTGAACAAATTTGAATCTACACTACTTGAGCATAAATATGATCAATTATGGCTTTGTCTTTCTTGAGAAGAAGATTTTTAAAGAATTTTCCTATATATTTATGTATAAAACTTTAGTTTGTGGCCCCGCCCTACCCCCGGGGGTCATGATTTGAACAAACTTGAATCTACACTATCTGAGCATGCTTCCATATAAATATAATGAATTATGGCTTTGTCATTCTTGAGAAGAAGATTTTTAAAGAATTTTCCTATATATTTCTATGTAAAACTTTGGTCGGCCATTTTGGCCCAGCCCTACCCCCGGGGGTCATGATTTGAACAAACTCGATTCTACACTACCTGAGCATGCTTCCATATAAATATGATCAATTATGGCTTTGTCATTCTTGAGAAGAAGATTTTTAAAGAATTTTCCTATATATTTCTATGTAAAACTTTGGTCGGCCATTTTAGCTCCGCCCTACCCCCGGGGGTCATGATTTGAACAAACTTGAATCTAACTACCTGAGCATGCTTCCATATATATATCATTATATTCTTGAGAAGAAGATTTTTAAAGAATTTTCCATCTATTTCTATGTAAAACTTTGGTCGGCCATTTTGGCCCCGCCCTACCCCCGGGGGTCATGATTTGAACAAACTTGAATCTACACTACCTGAGCATGCTTCCATATAAATATGATCAATTATATGTGGCTTTGTCATTCTTGAGAAGAAGATTTTTAAAGAATTTTCCTATATATTTCTATGTAAAACTTTGGTCGGCCATTTTGGCCCCGCCCTACCCCCGGGGGTCATGATTTGAACAAACTCGAATCTACACTACCTGAGCATGCTTCCATATAAATATGATCAATTATGGCTTTGTCATTCTTGAGAAGAAGATTTTTAAAGAATTTTCCTATATATTTCTATGTAAAACTTTGGTCGGCCAAATGATTTGAACAAACTTGAATCTACACTACCTGAGGTTGTTTCCCCATAAGTTTCATCTTTCCTGGCACTGTGGTTCGTGAGAACAAGATTTTTAAAATATGCCACCAAATTTTCATTAATTCCCAATTATCTCCCCTTGAATGAGGGCGTGGCCCTTCATTTGAACAAACTTGAATCCCCTTCACCCAAGGATACTTTGTGGCAAGTTTGGTTGAAATTGGCCCAGCGGTTCTTGAGAAGAAGTCGAAAATGTGAAAAGTTTACAGACGGACAGACAGACAGACAGACAGACAGCTAGACGGACAGACGGACGACTGACAAAATGTGATCAGAAAAGCTCAGCTCACTTGAGCTTTCAGCTCAGGTGAGCTAAAAAGAAGTCAAAGTCAATTGGAAGATAAAGGTTAGATTTTTTTTAATGCAGTTGATTAGCTCTAACTATCTTGAATAGTTTCTTCAGATGAGACCGTATAAACCGAGGTCCCATGTCGCAGTAGGAGCTAGCACAAAAATAAAGTGCCCCGCCACAGCATGATATGCCCATCAAATATCAATGATCTAATTTCCACGTCTTATCATGTTTAAAATATTGTTCATACATCTCTAAGAGACTTACAGTGTAGGGATTAATAATAACAAATAATACATCATATAATTCTAAACTGGCTGTTTAGAGCTTAACAGGAAATATCCATCTGCAGCTTTAAATTGTTTATTGCATATTTTATGAAATAATGGAAATGCTACAGTCTAATAAAAAAAATCAAAAATGAATTATTCTTTAGACTATAAAATTCTAAGTGAGACATGACTGCAATTTGTTGCAAATATATAAAAATTGAAATGTAATTTTTTTTTTCAATGAACACAATGAACGTATAATTAGTTTTAATTATATTGTGTACAATACTAATTTAGTTTTAATCATTACACTAAAACATCAATTTGTTTTAATTACATTACACCAATTGAAAGATCTTTATCTGGACTATAGCCATCAAGAACTCTTAATTAACACAAGCAACTATGAGGCCATTTCTTTTTGCCCAACTCCCAAGAGATAAATTAAGATAACACTGCATGATCAGATCTAGAGATGCTCTTGTCAGTTAGCTCCCGACAATAAACTCATTAATTTCTCTCTAATTTAACATGCACATTTCTGCTATCAAAATTCTCCTTGACCAGTGCTTGATAATTATGCCCATGGGACAAACTGAATTCCTCTCAAAAATATTAACATTTGTTACAGATTGCTGTAAAGTATATGATGAAAAAATAAGTTTTTACTTAATTTAACATTTTTTAATAAGGATACAACTATATTTTTTCATTTTTTAGGATTATGAAATTTAAAATTTAAAAGACTTAGTTTTTTAATAATAATCACTTTAATTAAAGGTCACAGTGACCTTGAAATAGGCCGCGACACACCTTCTACCTTAGATTTATACTTTTGCCAAGTGTGAAAGCTCTAGGTCTAATAGTTTTCTAGTTATGAGCCGGACAGGATTTTTCCATATTTGGCTATAGCATCTTTATTAAAGGTCAGAGCGACCTACTTTTTGTGAGCGACACACCGTCTATCCAAGAACTATCAGTTGACAAAGTTTGATAATCCTAGGCCTAATAGTATTAAAGTTATGAGCCGGACACGAATGGACAGACGGACGGATGGACATGAAGCCTGTAACATAATACGTCCCGTCTTAAGACGGGCGTATAAAAATCCCTCACTGCTCAATGGCCCTGAGTGCCAAGTATAGAGTGTTTTCCATTGAGGTGATTTTAGCAAGAGTTATTCCCCATGGCCGCCATATTGTAGGTCAACATCCCCAGATCCCTTCATTATTCAACCAAGTTCAATTTGTTAAACTGGATACTGAGGTAATGATAACACTATTTTTCTTATGAATATATGTTTGTTAAACCCTCTTCTAATTCATAATTTTAAATTTGTAAATATTTTCCCCCATATATTTGTTGCATGCATGTTTAAAATTGGTTGCTCAAAGAGGTAATTTCACTACTTTGCCCTACAAGATGGCGGCTAAGGGGAATAACTCTGAGGCAAAAAATTTCATTGGAAAAGGGTCTATAGGGCAAAATTTGCAGCTCTCCACCGGCAAGTGGTGGCATCTCCATATGAGTGAAAAATTCTTAAGAGGGACGTTAAACAACATACAATCAATCGGGAGAGGGCAACCAAACAATTATTTAAAGATAGCTTACTGAATTAGACTTACCATAGTCTCTGGAGCAGAGAAACCTATTAGATGAGTAAGTACCTGTAAGAATTAAATATTATTACTACTCAACAGTCTCTGTATTTCTACATTTATTTTATACAAGAATACTACAAAATTCTTCCTGTTTCATAAACAAGAGACAGTTATTTTTATTCAGTTAAAATGTTTTAATTTTTTTAACCACCTTTAAATCCTTTTCAGAGGAAGTAAAGCCTAGCAGTTAAGCTGTTGTTATAAGATTCCTTTAACATCTCCAATAATGCTTTTTTATATTATACTGTGTATGCCTACCTAGTAATGTAGGTGTAACTTACCATGGATCAACAATGAATCTACAAGTAGGCCCATAGCCTTGCCTATAACAAGTTTTGTACTGCCATCGTACAAAGAGTTAATTTTCACGATCCCATGGTCCTTACAACTTTCAGTCAGAAGTTCGTTTGATGTAAAGCTCCAGCAATTGTCACATAATGTTTTCAGACACAGATAGCATAAATTATAAATTTTGAACACGATCTACTTTCCTTCGAGGCACGTCAACATCAACGGTGCAACGTCATCAAGTTATACGTCATCAATTTGAATAAGCAATCATTCATGTAGTTTCGCAGGGGAAGTCTCAAAGTTTTGTTAAAACAAAAGTCGTATGATATAAATAGAACATCTAATATTGTGTGATTTGATATTGGCTTTATCCAACTCGTTGAAATGGTGTATATTCACTCGACAAGCCTAGGGAATATATACACCATTTCAACTCGTTGGAAAAAGCCAGTATCAAATCACACAATATAGATATCCTCTATATATTACCTTGTCTGAGAGATTAACATCCATCACAGCTGAGCCGTCATTTATTTTACATGGTAACTGCCATTTAATGCCTGCTGGCCTGCTTAGCTTGTCTGTAAGTGTGGACACATAGGCCTGAAGATAGAATGTCAAAATGTCAATGAATTATTAACATTCAATGAAAATTATAAACTTAAAGCATCCAAAGCTGTTATATCCCATCTACATTTTATTTGGTATAAAAGATGTTTATCAAACACTTTTGCTCTCCCTCTCTTCAAAAGTGCTAAACCCAAAACTAAACTTGACTTAGATATATTTAATGATAATCTTTACTTCAAATTAAGCTCGGCATGTGCAACCCCTGAAAAGAATCCATAGAAACTGCAAATATTAATCCCCTTCCCCGCAGTCATGCATTTTAACGCATATACTATTTCCTATTTCTAACGCAAAATCACGCATATACCGTTTCCCCACAATCACGCATTTAAAAAAGTTCATTTTATCTTCAATTTATCGCAAAATTACTTCTATTTTATACTTGTTTTGAACTTCTAAAATAAGGAAAGTAATTTTCTCATTAAAATATATCATCATAATATTTTTACGCTAAACTTTAGATAAACTTGTACCAGACTATAAAGTGCTTGCGGGGAAACGGTAACGTCATATTTCTATGACGTGACGTTAAGTGTATCTTGCATAAAAATTCAGTAAGTTGTAAAGAGTTAAACTGGAGCTTTTTTAAGTCCATGGGGCATTACTCTGACAAAAATTGCATGATCATACCCAATGCAAAACCTGGCTTTGATATTTTTATGATAAATCTGTACACCACATTTAGCTCAGTATGTGCAAACTCTGCAAAGAAATTGAATAGAAACTACAAATAATTTTTTTTTTTTTAAAATTCTAAGCCCACTGGGCATTACTCTGTCGAAAACAGCAAGATCGTAGCCAAAGCATTGTTAAACTCTTCTTGTACTAAAATAACCCATGTGGGGACTTTAGTGAAATAAAAAGTTACAAAGTTTCAAAGCAGAACCTGGCCTAGACACTTTTATGATAAGTTTGTACACCAAATTTTAGTTCAGTTTGTGCGACCTCTGTGAAGAAAACGAATAGAAAGAGACTGACCAATCGACAAACAGCAGCAAAGCAATATACCCTCCCTTCTTGGAAGCAATATATAGCAATTTCTTTTTTTTTTGACTAACACATTAACTCTGTCCATAAATACTTGTGTATTGAGTTATACTTGCTTTAACTTTGAAGGTGATTGGTTGACTGACAGGGATTCTTTTCTTTATAAAGGCCAGATAGGTGAAGGGTTTGGCATCACAGGGTAGCTCTGCAACAGACATAGATCATCAGGTTATCATCTTACACTGTATGCATACACATACATGTACTACGTAATGCACAATCTACTGAAAACAATCAAAATCGAAATGTTTTAAAACAACCAAACCTTAAAATATATTACATCACTTTCAATTCATTAGACCTTTATTTTCGAATAATTATGCGATACTGTGCTCACGAAAATTTCATTCTCTTTTCTATTGGTATTCCACATATGCAACACTTACTGCTATTAGTAAAAATTTTGTCTTGCTAATGATTATCTGGCAAAAATAAAGTGGTGTGAAAATTCAGTGCTATACAGTTTCCATGTACCTGGAATGTTTGTTTGTTGGTCTCTTATGGGTTGTGTTGTTTTCAGTGGACTTGTAATGGCAATAGAGATGGGCTTTTCCTTTGTTTTCTCTTCTCTCTGGAACCTTACAGTTTTGGCTGGAGCTACACATGGAGGAGATATTTTCTGACTGTTTACCAGCTGTGAAGCTTTCTCTTCCTTTATAGTTTGCTGGGGACTGTTAAATAATTTCTTCCTTTGGACTGGCAATAATGACTTCTGCTGCTGTTGATTTTTAGCTGTACTTGTTTCCCTATTATCTGTGTTTTTATTTGTGCCCTGTGATCCAGTGCAGGGTGCTGGAGGAACAGAATAGCCATCACCAACAGATATAATGTCAAAATCATCCATATCATCAAACAGCTCCTCATCAACAACAGCGTTATCTGGAAGACCACTAATCCTCTTCTTCTGAGGAATACTTGTCTTCACCATAGTCTGACTAGCTGTCAAAGTGTTATCACTATATTTAGCACTATTATTGGAGGCATTACACACCTCTGTTTTTAGATTTGTTTTTCTAACAGGCAGATGCCCATCATGAGTTTTCTGTCTTTCTTCTGCTCTTTGAAAACTTCTATCTTCACACCCTGTGTTTCCTCTCACTGATGTAGCAGGGTTAGGGACTGACTGAGAAGAAAGCCTTTGATATTGTGTCAATGTCTGAGATTCTGGGGGACCTGTCTTAAATGGCTGTTTATTTGAGGCAGCGTTTGTCTTCCATTGTCTACAATTTTGATTGGTCGCTGTGGCAGGAGGGGGCGGGACAGCATCCATGTCAAAATCCTCCTCCAACAAACTGTCTAACTCAATATCATCTCCCCACTGTAATGTGTCATCCAAAAAGTATGTAATGTACTATGAAACTCAATGATTAATAGCTCCAATTTACATTAGATACTGCTCCTTTTAAAGATATTGGCAGCACAGTCAAATTGCTAACATATAAGAAATGATTAGCAGCAGACATCTGCTGTATCCAAGCTTGGCACTCTGACTTAAGCCAGCACCTACTATTTCACTTCATTTGTAGGACAAAGTGAAATAGTAGGAGCTGGCTTTAGTCAGACTGCCAAGCTTGTTCCATTATAAAATTACTGTGCGTTTCTGAATCGAAACATAAACATTTTTTAAACATGATTTAAGAGATTTGCTTAGGTCCCATCTCAGATATTGGTTTAGATCATATCCGTCCAACATTTTTTAGGGCAAAATGCCGCTAAAGCCCCTGTATTACACAAAAGTATCTATAGAACTTTTCTTGGACACTTGTTTGAGTCATGTTGGATACTTGTACATCAAATATTTAAATAGGCCCTATCTCAGAGATTTGTGTTCACCCTTTCTCAGACATTAAAAATGACCCTATCTCTAACTGTGGTAGTCTTACCTCATCCTCTACTTTTACGGCTTCCTGTTTAGGGACAGCTGCATTCCTCGTACTTTGTTCTGATTCAAAACAAATTAATAGAAATCAAAAGAATTTTTGTTGAAATAGTATTTGGTGACATCATTATTTAACATTACAGATAGACTTCAGTCTTGCCCTAACTTCCTTTCAGTTAAATTTGAATGTTTATAATATTGTCTAATTAAATTGCTAAAGATGTAATTTGGCATATTTATTTACAACCAGAAATATTCAGATTAGACACACACTGATATATCTAATACCATGGATATGTCAAAAGTGAGTTGGAAGTTTCACCTGCTTATTGCAACATTAATTTTTACCCTCGATATCTCAGATCCTTGGTAATATCAAAGTATTTTCTCAGAGCCAATGAGTTTGACATAATGAGGTTTGATTGCATTTATTGTTAAGCTGTACAGTATTATTTTTCAGAATAATACAGTCAATCTGATTTATCAAGAGCATAACATGTGCAGGAAAACAATTTGTGATTGTCAAAGCTGTGTTGTCTCCTTTCATATGTCAATGAAATTATTAATAGCTCAAGCAAATGTGCAGGGTGACAAATATGTGGTCTCGCTTCTGATGAAATTTAAATGTCATGAAATAACTTGTATTTAGTTGCCATTTATGTAGGAGTGGTGAACAATTAATTTCAAAAGTGATATCAAAGTTATCATATTTAAAAGTATTGAATCATGGCAGTGATTAGAAAACAAATGGTGTGACTATTATCTTCAACTCTTTTTCATTAAATTTAGATTCTTCAGGATAATAAAACTGACATGGACCGTTTAGAAGGGGGACATCACAAATTACTGGACCTGAGTAAATTGTCGCCTGATGGCACTTGACAACCCTACTCTCACCTGATAAATTGTGATTTCTCCCTTCAAAACAATCTGTAATTGTATATTTCCACCTGTACTTAATCTGCATCATTGGATACCCTCTATTGATCTTGTCTTCTACTCTGACATCCAATGATTTTTATTCATCAGCTGGTGGTATCTGAGACCATCTTACCTGGTGCCCTGCCCCTCACTGCAGACTGCTGTGGTTTTGACATGGATTCCACTTTTATTTTCTTTTTGGCTCTCATGGAATCACTTCCTGAGAACTCCTGATGATATTCTTTACCAGAATACTGTAGACTTTGCTCCCTAGAAATAACATATTCATAGATTAGAAATCTTGACTGAGATAGTTCAATTCAAGCAACAAATACACTGTTGGGTTTGGGATGAAAAGGATACATATTACATAAGTAGTTTTCAAGATATCAAATACATCATATCAAAAATGTCACATCAAATCAAGGTTAAACTATTGAAAATATTGTTCTTTTGATACATAAATAAAACAACCAAATGCTGTAAAATCACATATTTCCATGGGGTCAAACATCCTTGGCTTGCAGAAAAACTATGGTTTTTTGGGGGGTTCATTTCCTGGATGAAGAAAATAATCATAAGTTCTGCCTATTACATTTTACATTTTGTGGTGGACATAAGTTTGTGGGTCTCTTCATACCACAAAAACAACAAAAATTAAAACCCAACAAAAATAAATGAGTGATTTCACAGTAATATCTTCTTTCAGTGAATGAAATATTTTGTCTTTAGAATGAGTAATAATCTTCAATGTGACAGTTTTAAATTTTCCTACTATAAATTACTTTAACAGAATCAATATAAAGTTATTGATGATCCTTACATTGCTTGTTTGAGGACACTCTGTGGTGTGTTATATAAAGTTACTGATGATCCTTACATTGCTTGTTTGAGGACACTCTGTGGTGTGTTATATAAAGTTATTGATGATCCTTACATTGCTTGTTTGAGGACACTCTGTGGTGTGTTATATAAAGTTATTGATGATCCTTACATTGCTTGTTTGAGGACACTCTGTGGCGTGTTATATAAAGTTACTGATGATCCTTACATTGCTTGTTTGAGGACACTCTGTGGTGTGTTATATAAAGTTATTGATGATCCTTACATTGCTTGTTTGAGGACACTCTGTGGTGTGTTATATAAAGTTACTGATGATCCTTACATTGCTTGTTTGAGGACACTCTGTGGTGTGTTATATAAAGTTATTGATGATCCTTACATTGCTTGTTTGAGGACACTCTGTGGTGTGTTATATAAAGTTATTGATGATCCTTACATTGCTTGTTTGAGGACACTCTGTGGCGTGTTATATAAAGTTACTGATGATCCTTACATTGCTTGTTTGAGGACACTCTGTGGCGTGTTATATAAAGTTATTGATGATCCTTACATTGCTTGTTTGAGGACACTCTGTGGTGTGTTATATAAAGTTATTGATGATCCTTACATTGCTTGTTTGAGGACACTCTGTGGTGTGTTGTATAAAGTTACTGATGATCCTTACATTGCTTGTTTGAGGACACTCTGTGGTGTGTTGTATAAAGTTACTGATGATCCTTACATTGCTTGTTTGAGGACACTCTGTGGTGTGTTGTATAAAGTTATTGATGATCCTTACATTGCTTGTTTGAGGACACTCTGTGGTGTGTTATATAAAGTTATTGATGATCCTTACATTGCTTGTTTGAGGACACTCTGTGGTGTGTTATATAAAGTTATTGATGATCCTCACATTGCTTGTTTGAGGACACTCTGTGGTGTGTTATATAAAGTTATTGATGATCCTCACATTGCTTGTTTGAGGACACTCTGTGGTGTGTTATATACGAGGGTTGTTTGAAAAGTTTGTGGACAACTGTTATATCTCTTTTATTTGACGTCATATGTTACCCAACTTTGGTAGAAATATTTTAACAATAAATCCAAATAATTTGTATTATTTTTTTCAAAATGTTACGATTTATTCAAAACTTTTCCAGATTTTAAAATGCAAAAATCGGATCGCAGAGCAGGTCAAAATTTAGTGAGTTACAGACAATACACTGAATAATGTCTGCAGTCATATTCTCTGTAGAATGGAGCAAAATCGAAAAACAACCTAGAAATTCAAATTAAGAATTAATACATCGATTTGTATCCAAATTATGGTTTAATATTTCGCTTTGTTGAAAAGAAATAAACTTGAGAAGATAGGTTGTCCTTAGGCTGTTTAAAATTAAAACTACGTTTAACGTCACCCGCGCGCGTAGGTTTATGAGAAATTCGTGTTTGAAAAAAACAAACAATTCGGAATTCCGTATGTCTGTTCCGGTTTGGTTCTACAATAAGCGACTGAATTCTGCTTCCCGTAGTGACAGAAAATGTGCTTTGATAAAGGCAGTTGGTGTCTTATTAAAGAAAACTAGTGAATTAAAGAGTTTGGGACCATAAATGTAAGTAAAAAAAGGTGATTTTATGATTGAAGTTAATGACAAAGTCTAGTTTGTTGATTTTTTTGTCAGTCTTTGAATCACATGTTCAAACTGACAGTAACAGACTCTCAGTTCGTGATTCTACTGGCTGAACTTTTCATTGTATTTTGGAGAGAATCGAAAAACTTTTTTACCGAGTGGAAAGTGTGTCAAAAAACCAAGATCTATATACAGTGAAAAGCATCATTCAAATCTTATTTGATATGTTTCATATTAAAAATATTTCTGTAAAAATCGAAAGGAACAGTAATGAGTAAAGTAATTTATTTCTTCATAATTCATATACCTACAAATAGCTACAATTTTTGGAAAAGATAGTACTTGTCTTAACCATTTGAGCAGGGAGAAGCTTACCGAAGATAGGGCCTTTCAAGTGAAGGAGAGTAAGGAAAGAAGTAGGGGTATTCCAAGACGTGAAGAATCCTGTCCTTAGTGTGGAATTCAAGGTATATTAAAAATAATCTAACAGCTATCATTATGGTCCAGATATTAGTATTCACACTTTCAAAACTTAATGCTGGTAGATCTAGTACTAAGAAAAAATGCAACATAATTCAATTTGAGATATTTCAACATGAACAGTTTTAAATATTGTCATCAATAATTTTAATTGTAGATATTGATCAACTATTCCCATAAGAAGAAGCATTTGCCTCCAGGGTACCATGGACGTGTGGCAATATAAATCCAAAGGACAATTGAAGCCTAGATAAAAGTCACTTTCCTGCACATTCAGTCTTAGAATACATTGTTTGCTAACAATAGGACTCAAACTGATTTACATACTTAGAAAAGTATCTGCTTTGGAAATTTATCTTAGGTGTCTTATCAATTAAATGCTCTTTATTACTTAATTGTAATGTTTTTAATGTAGTGAATAGGTTAGTTTGAATAAATTCACAATTGTTTGAAAATTTTGTTTGTTTATTTTTTTCCTCCCTCCCTCGTAGGTTTTGAAATTTAGATGTGACGTTAAACATAGAATTAACTTTAAACAGCCTTATTGAAAACAACAAAAAATGATGACGTTTTAGAACGTCACGAAGCAGCAGATAACGATGCAATTTTGTGTTTTACTCAGGAAAATCTTGAATAAACTCTAAAAATGTTGAAGGCATCAAGAAAATATGTCTCAAATGAGTTGTGCATGTGTGTACAAATAATATAGGAGTATTTGAGTGACAGAGACTTTGTATCGGATAAGGATGATCTGTGAAGAAACGGTTTAACTGTAAAAATCTGAACAAAACTTTTAAAAGTTGGAACGTCAAGGAAAGACATAGGCACTTCAGAGTTGCTTATCCTATGAAAGCAGAGTTAAGTTATAAAAGAAATTAAAACCTTAACAAAGGAAATTATACAACAATATCAATTCTTAAATAAACAAATGTCAAGTATTAGAAAAAGGATTTAATGAATGGGCATTGGATAATACTGTATGAAATGTATAGGGATAGTATTTTTGAGAAATTCTTGACGCTATGTTTTGACGTTACATTGCCATTAAGGGTGCTCTGCGGGTACAAAACATATTGAGTTTAAAATGAAATAAATTGATTTCTCTTAAATCGAATGGAATGAAACTTCACACATCAACAAAACAAATATTTTTACATATTACAATGTGCTTATCTTAAATTTCCAGTGATTAATATAACGGAGATTGACATCGTCCACCAACTTTTCGAACAACCCTCGTACAGTTATTGATGCTCCTTACATTTCTTGTTTGAGGACACTCTGTGGTGTGTTACTCTCCACCAGTGAATCCACCTCCCCTCCTAACACTGTAACATTGTCTGATGTCAACATCAGTATGCCCCGCCGACAACGCACCCTACCCCTCACAAGGATCTGAAAGGGACATAAAATGATAAGGTTCAATACTGGATATAATATGTATTGCAATATTGTAAGGGAAATAAAGATTTAATCAGCCGAGAAATATCAGTTTCCCCAAGGGCTTGCTCAAGGGGGAATATAATTTTCTTAGCTGAACAAATCTTCATGTTTCCTAAACATTCATCCAATATATTGTTTATCCTATTAGACAAGCAAAAGTCTTTAAAACTAAAAATAACAAAACTTCAAATGTCGCTCTCTTATATTCACTTTCAGTTTTTAAATTAATTCACTGAAACGCATTACTGAAGTACCTTAGACGTTTTACTTTGATTTCTTTTGTTTTTAGGTGAATTTTTTTCTGAATTTTTGTTATATAATCAAGAGAGATAACTTTTACAACAAAGTCAAATACAGAAATAAATTGTCAGAAATATTCAATTTTAGCAATCTCAGAACCTTTGCTAATACATGTAATGCCAACATTTAATTCTCACTAAAAGGCTCTGCTTCTATGGTATATGAATTAAAAACCTTTCCAATAAAATTTAATAACTTACTCCCTGGCTGAGCAGTCCTCATTTACACACGCAAACAAACAAACAATTAAATCCACTACCTTACAGCCTGGCTTTATTTGGTTGTTCAGACTAGGAATCTGTTTGTACTCCATCCCCTGTACATTGAAATTCCCATCTGTCAAGTTCAACAACATCATCCGAGTTGGCTTAGGTTCCCACTACAAAAATGTCATTTTATTTATTAAACTTTAAGTATATTTCACATATACAAGAACTAGACTGTTAACATCATATCTCAGTATGCAGGTATTATTTTGATTAATATTACTGTATGTGTACATAAAAAAGTGGGCTTCATATTTTAGTGTGATTGGAGCAAACAGCGCAATAATTCATGATTACCGTTAATAAATGAATACGATGTTTCCTTTTTTCATTTACTTTCTTCGATCTGCCATTTTATCAGGCCTTGAACACCAAGTCTGATATATTCATCTTTTTCATTAGCCTATATAAATGTATGTAAGGCCTAAAATACAATTACATATTTAATGTGTTTTTTTTTCAAATTCACTTTTGAGCATCAATTTTAATTTAAAATGGGTAACTGGCACTTGTCACTTGGACCATTAAGTTCAACTGTGTCAACTCTACGTTCTATAGGTTAATGCGACAATGTACATTGCACGTGTGGTAAAAGTTTCACAAGATTACACTGATATAATTACACATTATTGATCCTCCTGGACTAGAAAATCTGAAGTTCATTGTTTGTAATTACTAGTAAATGTTAATGAAATGTTCAACACCCAAACTACAACCACTCAATAAATACCTTAAGGCTATTTTCAGCCAGATGGACACGTTAATGGAACAGCAATAATCTAATACAATGTTTCAAAATTATTTACAGTAAGATATTAAAATTTTACTTAAACTCATAGGCAATATGCATGTAAGTATTTTTTAGCACTATATATGTAGTGCTAATTCATGAATACGCCAACCACTCCATACCTGGTGATTGCGCTAAATTTTGAATATACAAATTTTTGTATACATATGGTATACAGTAGAGTCCCGTTATTACGATGTTCATTTTGTCACAGAAAAATATCGTAATACATGTATTATCAATCAATGAAATGAGAAATAAATGATTATAATAGTTAAAATTCATGAACAGATTCAGAAATGTGTGCATGAAATTCTAAATCATTCAAAACTTTCCAATAGAATATATGTTAATTCAAAATGTAAGCACGATCAGTCATTTTTTTAACAAATAAAAATTAAAATGCCAGGTCTTTAGACAAGCTACGTATACAAGTTACAGGGTCAGACAGTGAGGTTACATACCGGGGGAGTGGGTTCCGCTGTAACCTACGTATACAAGTTACAGGGTCAGACAGTGAGGTTACATACCGGGGGAGTGGGTTCCGCTGTAACCTACGTACACAAGTTACAGGGTCAGACAGTGACGTTACATACCGGGGGAGTGGGTTCCGCTGTAACCTACGTACACAAGTTACAGGGTCAGACAGTGAGGTTACATACCGGGGGAGTGGGTTCCGCTGTAACCTACGTACACAAGTTACAGGGTCAGACAGTGAGGTTACATACCGGGGGAGTGGGTTCCGCTGTAACCTACGTACACAAGTTACAGGGTCAGACAGTGAGGTTACATACTGGGGGAGTGGGTTCCGCTGTAAACTACATACACAAGTTACAGGGTCAGACAATGAGGTTACATACCGGGGGAGTGGGTTCCGCTGTAAACTACATACACAAGTTACAGGGTCAGACAATGAGGTTACATACCGGGGGAGTGGGTTCTGCTGTAACCTCCATGTTCCCTGTGCTGGCTCCCTGAACCCTCTGTAACTGTCCATAGTAAGGCTTCCCAACATCCACCATGGAATCTACCTAACACCAAACAATCAGAAGGTATTCATTTCAGAAATCCTTATCACTTTCATTATATATCACAGCAAATTGTGTTAATTGCAAAAAAAAAATGTTCATCCCTGGCATTTTGCTATCAGTATATTTGACTATACTGTTAAATCTTTCCACAATTAATACTTAATTACTTGCAGGGCAAACATCCCATTAATCTGGACTTCCTTGGAGGATGTTACATGCTCTGGTAGGCAGCTGGATCCAATCTCATGCAGGTCTGCAAGAAGCCACTGCTCAAAAATCAGTCCATTTAACTGTGTCTGAGAGAGCTGGACTCTCTAAATAAGAAACAGGACGAATTTTTAGGAGGCCTTCCAACACCCACTAAAACTCCTATGGCATGCTCTTTTATCAGTCAACACATTTTTACATTCTTATGAAACAGATTCCTATGAAACAGTGTTCTATATAACTGATGAGAAGAAGACACCTGCTTTGGCTTATTTTACATATGCCAACTTAAATATTATTGCCAGTGAACTTAAATAACATGCCACAGAGTCTGTGTAAATAATGGCCTAACAAAAAGTAAGGAAAACGTCAGTCAGCATATGACTTACGGTTAATGATCAACTGTATTTGCAACCATAAATCAGCATTAATAGCTGCAAATACCTCATTAAAAGATTTGCTTTTGAAATTCCAACTCTACTTATGTTTGACGTTAACGTCATTTTGTGTGTTTTGTTGTATGAAATATTTCAAGGATTGTTTTTTTTATAACACTCATCATCACAATTCAAAGCTTTCACTCTTGTTAATGCTCATTTTACTACCTCAAAAATTGTCAATTTAAAAATATGCTTTACAAAACAGTTGCATGAGAATGGCAATGCAAGCCAATGAGCTACTGACTAATTGTACCAAGTAAAGAGATATTTTATGAATGACCTGATTTTCCTCAGTAATCCAATCTACACACGCCTCCAGCCAGTCCCCCGGGACATGGATGTGTCTGGACTTCAGCCAAGCATTAGCAGCAGGTACAGACGATGGAATCATCTCAGGGTCTCAACAGTCTACTTTGAAAGAAACATTTACAAGAAAACATGTACTTATACCCGTTATACTTGAATCAATACTGACAAGCAGGTTGTACCCTTTGTAATGCATCATGGAGCCAACACACATTCCTCCATTTGTTTGCACACAGCCTTGCAGCTATGAGACTCTATCTTTCAAAAAATTATCAGGTTCAATAGTAATCAATACAATCAGTACATTTAAGACCGCGGAACATTGACTGGCAAGATTGGAAGTATGCAGCTTACGTCATTTCTATCTGCTATAAGATAGACAATGAAATGAGCGGTACAATTCGACAGGGCCGGCCGAAAAAAACATTGGATTGAAATTCTAGTTTGAAATTATAATTCATTTTCAATCCACCTGAGCTGTTTTTAAATGCAAAGTGTGAAGATATGATCCAAAAGAAAAATAATTTAAATTCCCAAATACATGTTGGTTGCAATTTATCGGTATATTGATATGAGTTTTTAATAAAGCTATAATATAATCTTAAGGAAGTGGTAAAAGTCATATAAGACATTTTTCCAGGAGACAGTCATTTGATTCTAGAAGGGGGAGGGTGGCGATTGAGTCAGATCATATGCTTTGTACCAATTAATTTTTAGGATGACGACCTTATTTTTTTTAGTTTTGTCTTCAATGAAAAATGTTTGACAACTCTCTTATTTATTTCCAAGATCCCCCCCCCAAAAAAATACACATACATAAATTACCAGGTACACCAAACAGAAATCAAATATTTGTCCCTTCATTTATTTCTTTAAAACACTGGACAGAAAATTCTGATTTATATATTATTTTCAAACTATACTCAAATTGAAATTATCTGTCTTCTGTGTCAATCAGTAATAAAGTGCCTTCTAGCGTAGCTGCATGAGGTGGATTGAAAATGAATTTCAAACTAGAATTTCAATCCATCGAATGTTTTCTCGGCTGTCCACGTCGAATTCCACCGCCCATATCATTGTCTATCATTGAAGTTTTGATTGTAACAGATAGAAATGACATAAGCTGCATATTTCCAATTTTGCCAGTTAATGTTCCACGGTCTTAGCTATCTAGATAGAATTACCGTAGCTTTATTTAGCTATTTCACTCCAAATTTTTACAAATTTGTTCTTCATTTTAGAAAGACAAAAAGTCACAATTAAATGGCTACTAATATTTATACTAGGTATGTTTAAAAAAGCAATTCATTATCATGTTTACCAGAACAGTAGAACTGGTCTTCTTTGCTATTGCATTCAAGAAGTAACTGTTTGGTCACAAATTAACTGTTGTATATAGCCCCAGAACTTTCAGAACTTTGAATGCCATTGCGCAGAAAAAGACACATCTTCAAGACTATTTATTTCATGGATTGTTTTCAGATGAGTGACAGAATTATAGCTGCACCAAAGTGGGAATTTGTACACATATCCTCTTTAGTAGGTAAATAAACCTACTTCAAGTAGGTAAATAAAGCTATGTAGGTAATTTAAGCTTACGTAGCTACAGTGTAATCTAGTGATTGTACCAGACCTGATAATGATTCAAAGCTTCAACTGTTCACACATACACGGAAAAAGACAGAGGAATCTCGGATTAAAACCATAGCAATAGCATGTCATAACCATATGCCTATACATAAGCAACAATCATCATCTACAGATCTTTTCTTTTCGATGAAAAAATTAATTAAGTCTCGTTTTCTTATATCCCATACATTCTCTATCTCTGAGGGCCTCTCAATCTTCTGCTTGTCGGATATGGCGGGAAAAAATGTAAATAGAATAGATAATATTCAAAAAGTTATTGGTGCAAAACTCCGGAATAAACGAGGTCTCTCCATCGGTGGTGGATAGCTAGTTTATAAGTTTGGAAAGAAATAGCAAACGGAAATGGGGAGAAGAATAAGACAAATACATGTACCACAAAATTTTTTTTATTTTGTTTTGATGGCATATTAATTAATGCAAAAATTTTGAGAAAAAAATTAAGTTTTGAATCAAGTGTTTCTGTTCCGTTATTTTGACAAGTGAATGGGAAAAATTGAGCAAATTCATATGGTAATGTACTAGTGTGTATAAATAAAATTTTGCAATAAAAAAAAAACATACACTCTGAGTGGCCGATCCCCAGGAATCTTAAACGGAAAGGGGGAGCTCGAGGGGTCTGGGTAGGGGCTAGATGCAGAACTGTAGCTCTCCGAAAAAAATATGTATGGACCCACAGCCACACAAAAAATTGTTGATTTTTTTACATGTTTGTGGCTGTATGAGGATTTGTTACATAGTTTGTGACTATAAACAGGTAACACAAAGGGATTTGTTACATTGAATATATACTGCTGATGCGACTTTTTTTACGTACCGCATATATATGTGGATCTAGAGGAGGTGGGGGGTCCGGACCCCCTGGAATTTACAGGGTTATTAAATGTATGAACTAAACCAAGTAAAAGTGACCTTGGACCCCCCTCCCTTGAAAACAGAGACCCCTCTTTGAAAAAACAGATCTATGTGATATTGGTAAGGTTGGATGAGGCTTTGTTACATTAGATGTGGCTTTGTTACTTTAGATGTGGCTTTGTTACATTAGACATGGCTTTGTTACATTAGATGTGGCTTTGTTACTTTAGATGTGGCATTGTTACATTAGATGTGGCTTTGTTACATTAGACATGGCTTTGTTACATTAGATGTGGTTTTGTTACATTAGACATGGCTTTGTTACATTAGATGTGGCATTGTTACATTAGATGTGGCTTTGTTACTTTAGATGTGGCTTTGTTACATTAGACATGGCTTTGTTACATTAGCTGTGGCTTTGTTACATTAGACATGGCTTTGTTACATTAGATGTGGCTTTGTTACTTTAGATGTGGCATTGTTACATTAGATGTGGCTTTGTTACATTAGATGTGGTTTTGTTACATTAGATGTGGCTTTGTTACATTAGACATGGCTTTGTCACATTAGATGTGGCTTTGTTACTTTAGATGTGGCTTTGTTACATTAGACATGGCTTTGTTACATTAGATGTGGCTTTGTTACATTAGATGTGGCTTTGTTACATTAGATGTGGCTTTGTTACATTAGATGTGGCTTTGTTACATTAGATGTGGCTTTGTTACATTAGATGTGACTTTGTTACATTAGATGTGGCTTTGTTACATTAGAATGGCTTTGTCACATTAGATGTGGTTTTGTTACATTAGACATAACTTTGTTACGTTAGATGTGGTTTTGTTACATTAGACGTGGCTTTGTTACATTAGACATGGCTTTGTTACATTAGATGTGGCTTTGTTACTTTAGATGTGGCTTTGTTACATCAGATATGGCTTTGTTACATTAGATGTGGGTTTTTTACATTAGACGTGGCTTTGTTACATTAGATGTGGCTTTGTTACATTAGATGTGGCTTTGTTACATTAGATGTGGCTTTGTTACATTAGACGTGGCTTTGTTACATTAGACATGGCTTTGTTACATCAGATATGGCTTTGTAACATCAGATGTGGCTTTGTTACATTAGATGTGGCTTTGTTACATTAGACGTGGCTTTGTTACATTAGATGTGGCTTTGTTACTTTAGATGTGGCTTTGTTACATTAGATGTGGCTTTGTTACATTAGACATGGCTTTGTTACATTAGATGTGGTTTTGTTACATTAGACATAACTTTGTTACGTTAGATGTGGCTTTGTTACATTAGACGTGGCTTTGTTACATTAGACATGGCTTTGTTACATTAGATGTGGCTTTGTAACATCAAATGTGGCTTTGTTACATTAGATCTGGCTTTGTTACATTAGACGTGGCTTTGTTACATTAGATGTGGCTTTGTTACTTTAGATGTGGCTTTGTTACATTAGATGTGGCTTTGTTACATTGGACATGGCTTTGTTACATTAGATGTGGTTTTGTTACATTGGACATGGCTTTGTTACGTTAGATGTGGCTTTGTTACATTAGACGTGGCTTTGTTACATTAGACATGGCTTTGTTACATTAGATGTGGCTTTGTTACATCAGATATGGCTTTGTTACATCAGATATGGCTTTGTTACATTAGATGTGGGTTTTTTACATTAGACGTGGCTTTGTTACATTAGATGTGGCTTTGTTACATTAGATGTGGCTTTGTTACATTAGATGTGGCTTTGTTACATTAGATGTGGCTTTTTTACATTAGACATGGCTTTGTTACATCAGATATGGCTTTGTTACATTAGATGTGGCTTTGTTACATTAGATGTGGCTGTTACATTAGACGTGGCTTTGTTACATTAGATGTGGCTTTGTTACATCAGATATGGCTTTGTTACATTAGACATGGCTTTGTTACATTAGACGTGGCTTTGTTACATTAGACGTGGTTTTGTTACATTAGACGTGGCTTTGTTACATTAGATGTGGCTTTGTTACATTAGATGTGGCTTTGTTACATTAGATGTGGCTTTGTTACTTTAGATGCGGCTTTTTTACATTAGACATGGCTTTGTTACATCAGACGTGGCTTTGTTACATTAGATGTGGCTTTGTTACATTAGACGTGGCTTTGTTACATTAGATGTGGTTTTGTTACATTAGACATGGCTTTGTTACATTAGACATGGATTTGTTACATTAGACATGGCTTTGTTACATTAGATGTGGCTTTGTTACATTAGATGTGGCCTTGTTACATTAGACATGGCTTTGTTACATTAGACGTGGCTTTGTTACATTAGATGTGGTTTTGTTACATTAGACATGGCTTTGTTACATTAGACATGGCTTTGTTACATTAGATGTGGCTTTGTTACATTAGATGTGGCTTTGTTACATTAGATGTGGCTTTGTTACATTAGACGTGGCTTTGTTACATTAGACGTTGCTTTGTTACATTAAATGTGGCTTTGTTACATTAGATGTGGCTTTGTTACATTAGACATGGCTTTGTTACATTAGACGTGGCTTTGTTACATTCGACATGGCTTTGTTACATTAGATGTGGCTTTTTTACATTAGATGTAGCATGTTTCATGGATTGTGTATGATGTGGCTCTTTTTGCCATGCCTGTAGCTTTGTTACATTTATACATTTAAATATATCTAAAATACAGGAACACATACTTAGTTTGTACAGTTTATTTATACATAATTATGATGTGTAAAATTCTCCACATTTTGTCAGATAGTATATCATAAAGAGACAACACTATACACAGTATTAACAGCTTTCTACACTTTATATCACAAGTTGATACAAAAACTGAAGAGATGCATCATTTTGTAACCCTCCAGGGTATTAAAGCCTGGGGTTATTTTGTATTTCAAGGGAGGAAAACACATATTAGTACAACCTAAAATTGTGACACATTTGTTTTGGTGTGTGAATTTATTTAAAAAAATATCCCCGCATCAACTTAATAAATCTTAATTTTTAAGTCATCTTAATTGCAGCTTATTCTATCTTTGGAATGCTTTTTTTACTTCTAAAAATGTTTTATAATCTACACGGAGTATTATATGTAATTTTTCTAACATACAGTGTATAAAAAAAATCTTATTGTGCTTTATAGAAAACTTTCTGCCCAAATTAAACACTCTATTACTGAATGATACAATTTTTAAAAATAAATAAATATAAAATCACAATTTCATTTATTTCACAGATTTATGAACAGGTAAGTAAAATATTTCATTACATTCCATCTGTGTTTTAGTTTACATAAATGCAAAATAGTTGTAATTCTACTGATTGCTGAAAAATGAATTTTCTTGTACTTTTAGTGGTTTGTCAAATTTCCTGTTAATATATGTTACTATATACTTTATGAGTTTAAAATACATGAAAATGAAAGAAGGTTGCATGTATTTACATACTATAACTTTCTCAACGCAAACTACTTTAACAAAAACAACAACCATTACTACACCCCAGGCATACTGATATCATGTGACATTTTAAGTACATCCAGGATACAGATATCATGTGATATTTTAGTATACTCAGGGTGTATAAAAATATCATCATAATTTTTTGTAGTACACCCCAGAAAAAAAATGATATTGGTGTCATTTTGAAGCTACACCCCACGTAAAACAGATATCATGTGACATTTTGTAGTGCATTCTGGATATACAGATTTCATGTAGTACATGTATACCCAGGTTGTATATAGCTCAATTTCAGCATGATTTTTGTAGTACATCCAGAGAAAAAAAATGTATTGGTGACTGTGTGACAATTTGACGCTAGACCCAGGGTATACAGACATCAGCAAGACATTTTGAAGCTACATATGTAATTTAACTCATGAAAAAACTGCTGTGTTCATCAATGCATTTTGATGACTATAAACAATAAGTCATTATCAATACAACTCAACAAGCAGATACAGAATTGTGTGTTCAACATAATATTTATCTCACTTTTGGTCAAATAAAACAGGCATTAATATTATAAAATCTAAGGAGGAAAAAAATTGTTCAAAAATACCTATCACTCATAAAAATGTGTATATTTTTTCTTATCAATCTAGTTAAAGAAATCTATGACAAAGAAATACTATATATGGTTAGATTTCAACCAAAAAAAAAAAAAAATCCAACATTTTACATCACAATTTCAGCGCTGTTATAAGCCCCATCTCCTAACCCTGTAAAATGCCTGTCATATTAAAAAATCGGTCCTTGCTCTCTGTTGGTGGGGGAGATAAGCTAGCACATTCCCTCTCACGTGGTGCGAATCTTGCCCGGCACATAGTTCTTGTCAATATTGGTTTCTTGTAAGAACATATGTAGACACTTTTCATTTTGTGCAAGTGGATGACCTGCAACTCTGTAAAATAAATGTTTTTAAATTGTAAATAAACATCAAAATTCAAGCAACTAACTAAGAAGTAAAGCTAACGTTTTTAAAAAAATTATATATTATGGAAAACTAATTCTTTAGAGTGAAAATATTTGCAGACCATGTCTCATACCTGTTGATAAATTGTTCTAAGCCTTTTCTTCTGTCTTCAATGAAGTCATCCTCAAATATTCCTTCATCACTCCTAAAGGGTAACTGTCTCTTCCAAGCTTTCCCTGGCAGAGGTGGCACTACAATCTGTCAACAAATGAAGGATAAACAATGCTAAAAAATTTCTTTTCAACCATATCTTGAGAGAATTGTAAAGTGAAAAAGGATTGAACAACAAATAGACAAATGGCACACATGCCACCAAATCAACATAAATGTATTAGTTAAAAAAATCAGTCCACATTTTCTTACATTTTTCTTCAGTAATTCTGGAGAAATCTGAATACCTATATCATTTCAATAATGCTGAATCTAATTTAATCAATCTAATATAATCAGTTTATATTAAGTGCAATGGACTTTCTCTCACCTTGCTGTCTCTTTCTAACTCATTCCTCAGCCATTCAAAGTCACTGTATCTCCGTCTCACTGTGGACTCCTTTACCTTAAATACTGGTAAGTTAGTCTGAAAGATATTCACGAATAATTCTTTAAAATCTGAAGAAGGCATTTTATCAGACTGTCAAGATTTGTTTGCAAGCTGTCTTGTAGTTTAAAATCTTTCAAGTACTATATCAAAATGTAGAGTGATGTTTTTTTTCATTGATACTAGTGAGAAGCATTGTGCTATTAATAAATTGTCTTTTGTATGATTGGCATTTTATTCTGTTCACAAGTATTGGAATAGTAAGAATAATCTAACTGTCGGGACAAGCCCTCACCACAGTTAGAATACCACCCAATGCCTTGCAATGTAGCAAATAATTGCAGATTCACTCCAAATAATTTTGAACATGTTTGAAGAATACAAAAGAATTTGCATTGGAAATAACTTCAAAATTAATTATAACAGATCTTTTTGAGGTAGTGCATGCCTTTAAACCTAAAATATAATCCAAATAAAGACGAAAATTCAACTAATTTTCTCAACGTTTTTTCTCGCTTCAAATTTACACGCCATGTTTGCATTCAGAACACTCTGGATTGTTCGTAGTAAATGCACTGAGTTCGAGTTATCGCCCGTGTTTATTTTTCTACATAGTGAATACACAGAACACATTCTATCGTTAAACCAGGTCCATAAGACATCTATTATTTTAACGATAGAACACTCTATCTAGAACTGGAAATGCCAAAATTCCCAGTTTTTGTATTAATGGCACGTACCAGTTCTAACGTACTCCTAGCATGTAAAAAATCATAATCATGAAAAAAGCCTGGAAAACAAAATATTTTGGACTTCACCAGTTCACCACATATACAGTTAATATAGTTTGTTTTTAGCCAAATCAAAAAATAATAATAAAATGGTTTAAACCCAACATGCGGACACAATTTACTCCATTCCAAGCAGGATATTTAAGCCAAAGTGAATCAATCTTATTGATAGATTAGGAAGTTTCAACTGATTAATAACGTTGAGATCTTAAATTATTTAAATGTATTGGAACAAAGAATGAGGAAATTCGAATTGCAATGAATTATGTTAAGTTTTCCATACGTCAAGATTATTGATTTGCCATACATGAAAATTACAAAAACAATAACAGGATAAAATTGAGTAATATCTTAATAATATTAACGTGACTATTACTATAAAGCTTCCGGATTTAACACGTAAAAAAAATAAAGAAATCTGGTAAACTATATTCATTTACAATACCTATGGAACTGTGTATCTCCCCTGTCGCCAATATGGCGAGCCCATAAAATGGCGTCTTTTATCCACGCGCAAATTCTATTTCAATGAGACTTTCATCAAAGTAAAAACATTTAATCCAAGGATAATGTGTAGTAATTCTTTTCTACTTAAAATCAAATCCATTAGTAATCAGTCCCTTCCTACTTTCGTTTTCTTTAGATTGATTTATAATTCGCGCTACACAAGTAAAACGGCATTTGATTGTCAGAATTTCCCTAAAGGCGGCGCTGTCGTCTGCACTATGGAGGAGCGGAAAGTATGGCCCCTTTCATATATCCTTATTTATTTGTTAAATAAAATTTGCCAATAATGTGTCTTCAGGATATATATAAAAACGAAGCTAGAAATATAAAATTTTTTTTGAAAAATTTTTTGAACAGTTAAATTTTTTTTTAATAAAGTGATAAAATAAAATACCCTGTGAAAATGTGAAAAGTCTCACAGGATACTCAATAAGAGTGTGTGGATTTCTTTTTTCTTTTCCTTTTTTTTTAAGCTATCCAAATTATTTATGAATATCTACTTGTACATGGAAACATAAATATTTACAGATCTATGAAAGTCTAAAATCTCATTTTTGTACTAAGTGATTTTTTAAAATTTAATATTTTATTTTATAAAGTTTTTCAAATGACAAAATTTCAGTTTCTTATGATTTATCAAAAGAAAAATCTAATATGATGTATGGATTTAAAAAATTCAAAAAGATTTTTTTTGATAATTGGAATTACATATAAAGTCTAAATTTAATTAAAGCAGGAAAAAATAAGTTAAACAGTGTATAATGTACAGTCTGAAGAGGTAGTTGTTCAGTCTAGTAGTACATACATCTTTCAGTAAATGCATGAAAATATCCACAAAGTTGTACGACTTCAAAGTACAGTGCATGCTGTAAATGTATACATACCTATATGTACACTACAATACTCAAATTTAATACACATCAAGCATATTAATATAGTTTTCAATCCTAATAAATGTGCTTATCTATTAAAAACATGAAGCAAATATTCAGAATCTTTGTTTGACATCGATAAAATATTTTATTCATAACTTCTCAAAAGTGTACCCTATAATTATATTCACAAGTGTTGGTTTTGAAATTATATAATTAAGTATTAATGACAAGGGTATCAGAAAAAAAAACTTTTAATTTTAAAGTTTTTCCCCACAGATATATAACTGTTTTCAATACAATTATGTTAGATTTAGAAAATTCTAAAGACTTTTTAAATCATATTTGTTTTTTTTTTTAAATTGAAAGGTGAAAGATACATTTTTCATTAAAATTAAGAAAACAATAAATATAATTCATGGCTTACAAATAATGTAAAATAAAAAGAATTAAATAAAAAGAAAAAGGGTATATCACAACAGGGACGTAGTATTAAATGTCCCTGATCGTGCATCCTTTAGTTTGCAAATTTTTTCTCACATAAAAGTTGTGATGCTGTTATATTTTCAACTCTTGTGACAGTCAAATGTTGGTCTGATGATTAGTCACAGGAAGTAGATCATTGCCTTCACCTTCAGGTCCAACAAATTCGTTTCTGATCTGGTCTTGACAATAATATTGTTCATATAACCATGTAATGGGAGTAATAACAGTTGAGAAATGAATTGAGGTTTCTAGATAAGTGTACAGTTGTTAAATAAGCATATAAATCAAGTAGTGAAAGAAAAGAATTGGTGCTCAGAAAAGTTTATGAATTGATTATTTTTTTTATTAATATTTATTGGATATACTAGTATTTTGGAACAAGTTTACAGTTACGTGTATAACTTTTAAAGTTTGAGGTGTTGTTGGACTGAGGTGTCTCACATTTCTTGGGCCCGGTATGTTGAACCCATTACTGGTCCAATGGCATAATGCATGCCCCTCTTTTTTCCCACGACGTTCTTCGACTTTAAGTGCTCTGGCTAGACAACCATTCATCTCATTATGAAATATCTTGCATTATTATACCCCCCGCTTGAAAAGCGGGAGGGTATATAGTGATCGGGATTTCCGTCCGTCCGTCCGTCCGTCTGTCATAAACATTTCCGTCCGTCCGTCTGTTACGCTTTTTCTATTATCCGCAACTCCTCTATATATAGTGAAATTTAATGAAACTTTCACAAGGGTTTATTACATATTGCCATTGTGCACCTCCTATTTTACTTTTTTATTCGACACGTATTTTAGGTTTCCCAGAGCAAAACATGGACATTGCCATTTTTTGTTTACCTATGACGTCACATAATAGAAGCTTCTGGATAACACTTCATAAGACGAGTTATTCCTCTTTACACATTACCGTAAAACAGTATACATGTAGCAACACATCGACATTATGGGAGGCGGGGGGTATCATTTAGTGAGCTCATTGCTCACAGTACCTCTAGTTTGAATGAAAAGTAATGAGGTACATGTAAGAGATGGGAAAGATTTTTTTTTAAAGAGAACTGAGTTCTTTGTTATGATTTTCTGACACTGACCATAGACCTGCATGAAGCGAACCCTTTGCTTTAGTTCTATATATACATTGACAATTTCATAATTTAACTGATCAACTGATTTATCATTAAACAATAAAATGTAGCAATTTTCTCTTCACGGCTCCGCCCTCACTAACGGTCACACCGTCTAACATATTAATATTAACGTGACTATTACTATAAAGCTTCCGGATTTCAACTAAAAATAAAGAACTGGTACCTTCATTTTGACAGCGTAATCTGTGTATCTCCCCTTTGATTTGGGCAGCCCATGAGTTTGAGGGTCTGTAATATCTATTTCAAGGAAGTTCGCAGGGGGAGAATATGCATCCTCTAACGTCTGTTTCTTTGGCTGAATCCTAGCCGTCGCTGGTTGAGTGCCCGTACTCATTTTCTCTTGCAACTCCTCCAACACAATTAGTGATGACGTCAGTCAATAACAATACCCGAGCCCGAGATAATTAGTGAAAAAGAAAGTATGGAGTTTGATATATTCTTAATTTATTTTGCTTTTATCCAAACCCAATGGTGTGTAGAATATATATAAAAACGATTCATTTACTTAAAATTTGATAAAAATATAAAGATTAAGTAATTTTTTTTCGGAATTAAAAATTCCCTTCAAATATTTTGATAATTATAATCTCACTAAGTGATGACGTTTTACTCAGTACACATTAGTCCTCGTTAAGCAAGACAACTTACACATCATGAAAAGTGTAAAATCGGTTATGTTGGTGCCAAAACGTATTTTTATGGTAAATTATGAGAATGGATTTGTAAAGCAATATACAACAGGTGATGTTTAATTCATGATTTATAAATATTCTCATGTTTATTCACTTTTTTTCACTATGAATAGCTATTTGACCTGATTTAGAAACATTCTTCCAAGGGCAAAGTTACATTATACATAAAGTGAAGTATTTCTTCTTATTCCTTAGATATGGTTGTATTTAAAAATTTGAACGATATGGTTTCAAATTAATATTTTCATTGCTTTGCCGATCAATGAAATTGTTATGTTTTCGTAATATGGTATATAATTATATTTTAGCTCCTTCAACAGTTGCCAGGGAAATCATCCATCAGAAAACAGGTTATAAAGAATCTTCTCTGGCCAACACGGAAAATGAATCTGACAGCCCAATTGCCGCTTACAAAAAGCGAATTGCCTGTGGGCAGTTACAGCATGATGATTATCAAATGTCGGTAGTAGAGAGGCTGCAAAGTCTGTATGATAAAATTGATAACTATGAACCTCCATCAGCCACTGCCAACTGGCTCGCAAAGGTTATAATCACATCTGCTTATTATTTTATACTTTAATTTATTACATTTGGTGCTATATTCAATTCAATTCAATTTGTTTATTGACCAATTAAGGGCCCTCATGGGGCAAAAAGAAAGTACATTGTTAAAATGTTGTAATGATTATGATCATACACATGAAATACAATATGACACAAGTCAACATTATACAGTTATTGACTGGGTATGAGGGCAACATATGATTTGTTGGACCTGAAGGTGAAAATGTTGCCAGAGGTCACAGGCAGAGGCCAACATTTTCACCTTCAGGTCCAACAAATCATATGTTGCCCGAATCCCAGTCTATAACTGTTTTGTTATACCCTTTAATGCTCACGTTAAAAGATTTAATCAATACACACTCTGTTATCAATTACTTTATATGGAAAATTATGGCTTAATAAGTAAATATAAAACAATAGCTGAGAGAGAACAAAATTAATTATATTTTTATTATATCACATAAATTATTTATCACAAAACATACTCTTCCCTTCTTCCTTATCTTGCTGATAGCAACAACTCTTGCAGCTCTTAACTTAGGCTATTACCATGACACCGATATTGAACGATGATTATAATTACTTGTGACATACTAGCAGTGACGTTGCGGTCTAACAATTCTTATGTTGGACTGGCAGGCCGGTCAACAATGAAATTGTTAGACTGATGTCATAAACATTTCTTTTGTTGGACTTTTTATTAGTAATAAATATATATATAGAAAGCTATTTATAAGGGTATAACAAAACCAATTGATGTTCAATCATATTTAAGCTTAAGAGTATTAATTCTCTATTGAGAAGTAGATGGCTTCTTTGGAGAGTATCAAAACAAGCCATCAACTTTTCAGTAGAGAATAATTCAAGAGTCACTCCTCTTATATTCAAGATAAGGATTTTAATTGAAATTTGGTATGTCGAACACTAATATCAGGAATACCATGAAAATGTCAAACATCGAAGTGATTTTGATGTCCCAACTACTTATTTTTAAAGTTTTTTACCTATATCTCAAATTATCAGATACCTAGAAGTTTTTCTAGGTCCCTCCTGAAATTCAGTTTCCAAACAATAATCTTTATTGCATATTACACCCATATGGGTCAAGCAATACATCAGAAAAAAAACAAAACAAAAGAGAATAATGAATTATATATACAATATCCATATAGAAATTTATCCCCTAAATGTTACACCGATGTGGACCTTCTATTTCTCAAATCTATTGATTGTTTTATAAAAGTGCAAACAGCCGGTATAACTTCAAGTTTTGGACTTAGTATATATTCAAGTTTCTGTGTAGGTGATTTGAGGTAGAATGAGGAACAATTATCTAACATAGCTTTTATATAAGTATATTCCTTGCTTGTATATTCAAGCTACACTGTAGAAAGAAGTGAAATTCATCATCAATAGTATTACATGAAGAACATAATCTTTGTTCTCGAGGTATTTTCTTATGCCTACCAATTTCTATCATTAGGCAGTGGTCATTTGTTCGAAATTTAGTTAGCATTTGTCTATTCTTAAAACTATTTTCAAGTATAAGATACTCTTCCAAATCGACATTGTGTTTTATTTTACTGTACAAGTATAGTTTTGAGTTTTCTGTAAATTTAGATACTTTTTCCATAGTTTTATCTTTATAATTATCTAGTACAATTTTCTTCAACTTCTTTTTAACTGAATTTCGAATTTTTCATCTTAATAATGACTGTAACAATATTTTTGTTATCATATGTTTATAATTAATATATAAATTAAACAAAAAAATATTTTTTTTTAATTAGAATGATAAAATAGATATCATATGGCATGCAGTTTGCATATATTTTAATCACGGTATATTAGAAATTACATATAGCATGTTTATTTTGTAGACTTTTGGATTTGGCAGCAAGAATGAGATAGACAAACCAAAGGGGCTTTATCTGCATGGGCATGTGGGTATGGACATTTTATTTCCTGAATTTTCCCTTCAAACATTTCAAGCTTCAAAACATTTTACAATAATATGCAAAAATTTAATTCACATAGTTATCCCTTTTGTGTGTATACTTACAAAAATGAACTAAAAAAGTTGAGTAGATTTAGTATTTAAGAAATCATGATTGAATACATGGAGTAGTCCTGTGTAGCAATAATTCCTAATACTGTAAATCACTTTTTATTCGCGAGAACATTATTTTCGCATAATTACGCGAGGCGGTATGCTCGCGAAAATTTCATTCTCGCGTACAATAGAATTCCTTAAGATTAGGCCAAAAAAAACAATAGTCTTGTTTCCTGCTTCCAGCCACAAAAAAAATAGGGTAGGTAGGTAGGAAAATTATTTTATTTTTTAATTTTATTTTATTTTTCCCAATGGTATTTTTTTGGATATGAACTACTACAAAACCAAATTAAGCATGTCATAGCTTGGTAGGTATCATCTTTTAAAATGAAATTCCATGCCTTTTGATGCACAACTCAAGTGGAATTTTATGCAAGTTCATATTTTATCAATATATTTCATGTAATACAATTTGAGTATATATTTTTTTTTTTCACTTTAGAAACATGAAATTTCTAAAATTTTGAATTTTTTTCCCCAAAAGCTAAAAAAAACTTTAGGGTCGGGTGCAAAAAAATAGGGTAGGTCGGGTAGCAGGAAACAAGACTATTTTTTATTTTGGCCTTATACAGAACAATGACCACAATTCGTGAAAATTTTGTCTCACTAATAAAGAGTCAATGACCATCTCGCGAAAATAAGGTGTCGCCAAAATTAAGTGATCTACAGTAATGCCAACCACTCTAAATCCAGTGATTGCACAATTTTTTAATAAATAAATTTATGTAGTATTATATTACTCAAAATTCCTTCATAAACTATATCCAGATTGTGGATATTTTTACCATACATGTAGGTCTGCTTTGTAGAGAGCAACTTATGAACTAAAGGATTGTTCTTGTATTATCTGTTTCAGGTACTGGGAAGACAATGCTAATGGATATGTTTTATCAACACTGTAAAGTGAAAAAGAGACAGCGAGTTCACTTCCATAAATTCATGCTGGATGTACATAAACGTAGGTACAAGTAGAACTCACCTAAGTTCCTCCTGTAGAATTTAATGTTTCACATGTGATACCTCACAACAGAATATAATGGTTGTGTGCAGTGTGCAAGAGTGTTTACATGTTATTTTTTATTCAATATTCAATAAGTAAGAAATTAGAAATAATTTATTATTTTTTTAATTTTTCACTTCAGTTTAAAATATGTTTAAAATAACCTCACTAAGTATTTGAGACTAAACGCCTAATGGTTCACAAGTAATCTCTCCTTTATGATTTATTGCTTTAAATGTACTTTGGCCTGTATTTTTCTGCTGAAAGAAAATAAAGAAATCAGAGGCCTGTTCAATAGAGCGCTCACGAGCTCAATTCTTGTGCGCTCACCAAAGTTCGTAATACCTCCAATAGAATGGTTTCTGAGCGCTCGCTCTGTTATCAGGCCTCAGAATGATAAATAAAGAAAAAACTAAGTTGTGCATTAGAACATGCATACAATTCAATACTATTATCATTTAAAGCAATATGAGCTGCAACTTTGATGTTGGAATTTTTTGTTGAAAAATTGTAAATAACTTTTTTCTATGACAGAAAAAAATAACGTTTATAAACTTCTGTTGTTCATATTTGCAATGAAAGTACTATTTATAAGCTTCGATTGAATCAAAATAATATTATTGTTGTCCTGTACAGTATTGATTTCCTATATAAAACTGTATATTGGATTGTATATGGAAGTCTTTTCTTCTGCTTTATTTTAATCTAATTGAGCATAAATGTTTAAGTTATATACAAATTTATCATAATAATAAATTTTAACAGCAAAATAAAATTTTCAAAAATACAGCTCATATTGCTTTAAGTTAGCATCACATTTCTTATGAATGACAATGTTTATGTGTTTTAGGAGTACATACACTGAAACAGTCAGTACCACGACAGTATAATGTGAGGAAAACACAGTCTTTTGATCCAATTCCTCCGGTCGCCAAAGAGATCAGCCTAGAGGCATGGCTACTCTGTTTTGATGAGTTTCAGGTACATGTATTTGTCTACAAAGTAATGCACAGGCACACATCATTACAGGGAAATTACTTAATTTTGATTTTATTATGCCCATTATACCCCCCTCAAAGTCCAAGAAGGGAGGGCATATTGCTTTACTGCTGTCTGTCAGTCAGTCGATCTGTCAGTCCACCAACAGTTTCCATTTATTTGCTTGCAGAGTTTGCACATATGAAATGAAATTTGGAATACAGATTTATCATAAGAATATCTAAGGTTAAGTTCTGTTTTGGATATTAAAGATGATCCAGCAATTGTTTTGTTACTATTGACAGAGTTATGCCCCTTGGACTTAGAAAAATTCTAAAGGGGGAGGGGATAAGATTTTCAAAAACATCTTTTTGTTTAGAATTGAGCTACAATTATATACATGTAAATCTATAATTATAAGTACTTGTACTTTAAAGATGAGAATGACTGGGATATATATTTTACACAATAGACATTTAATAGTGAGGATTGTTTATTGACAGGTTACAGATATAGCCGATGCTGTGATACTTAAGAAACTTTTTACAGAACTGTTTAAGTGTGGAGTGGTAGTTGTCGCTACTTCTAACAGAGCACCTGATGGTAATAAATGTTTATTTCGGTTTGTTGAGTGTCTAACTGCAAAATGGAAGTTAAGTTTCATTAAAGAATTTTTAAAAATTTCCTCACAGCACACACATTTTGAACTTGTAGTCTTTTCAAAAAGTTATGTAGTTCAAGCTAATCAAAACATTTTGGAGTGTTTGAACTTATGAACAATTTCTCAGTTAATGTCCTTTACATGTTATAACTATGTGAATTAATTAATGTTTAGTAAATACTTATCTATGCTACTTTTTGTAATGATAGGAGGCTGAGTTTTTCTGTAAAAAATGTTTATAATTTCATTTACATTGCCCTCTATTATTATCTTTTTTTTTATAGATTTATATAAAAATGGTCTTCAAAGAGGCAATTTTGTCCCTTTTATTGGAGAATTAAAGGTGAGTTTTGCCTTTCACTATGTTAAAGATTCAGTATAATTCTGTGAAGTAATGCTAGATAGAACAGTGTTTATAAGTACACAATATGATTGGTACAATAATTTTCATGTTCATAATTAACGCTCACTTTTTTTTATTATGAATGAACATATTGTCAGTTCTTTAATTTTGCATAAATTAAAAACATTTATAAAGAAATACAAGCTGAAGGAAATATTTCATATTTTTTTTACTATACAGTAATTTTATTTACAGAGGCACTGTGAGATAGTGAGTCTAAACTCAGGAGTCGATTATAGAATGAACACACTCCCTGCTGAGGGCAGAATCTACTTTCTGTAAGTTACTCAATAACATGTTTGCCAATATGTAACAAAACAAAGGACTGAAAATATATGTGTGCAATCATCTTTGTTGACAGACAGACAGTTTTGCTTGGCATTTTTGGCTGTCGGGCCATCTTAAAAATGATTTTTGCCTTCTCCCATTAAATGGGATAAAACTTGGGTCTGGCTAGGTAGATTTAAAGTGTATTTTCATTGTTTATAAGCTTTATAGGACACAAATTCAGTTTGATATACCCTGTAATTCACTATAGTACATGTATTTGTATACATGTATCAGAGTTAGTTATGACCTTAAAATTTGACAGGGAATTTAGCTTGGAATCCAGCTTTTTTTTAGTAGCTTTATGTACCTATGCTAAAATGTGTAATTGTTCCTTAACTGAATGAGAAAGATAAACTAGTCCACTACCTGTCTACGACAGCTGTGTTTAATTCACTATATTTACATTTGCAAATGTTTTCCTTTACATAACACTACTGAAGGCAAGCGTTTTTATAACTGTGTAAATACAGGTTAACAAGTGTGAAGAGAATTTCTCTGTAGACGTCATAAAGTCTGGATTACATACATGCCGTTGGGTCGCATTTCACACGTTAAAAGTAACAATAAGGCAAATACAAAGTATAAATAAGTCAATAATGTAAATATAAGTAATAAGGTATCAGGAGGAGCAAGGTGAGTGCACGTGTACTACATATATCTATCTCACAATTACCTAAAACTTAAGAGTATATTCAATCAAACAAGTCTATATTCCTTCACTCAGTGGTCCATTGCATTATGGCAAAGAGTTAAAGACTGACAACTCCTTTATTTTTTTTTTGACAATTCTATTTTTCGAACATATCTTGTAGTGATTCAGTCGCGAGTACTGGATGTCTTAGGAAGAATGCTAATTTTACCAGAAACTTGTGGGACGATATTGAAAACAGATTTTGATTCCATGTGCAAACAGGTGTGTACTGAAGTTCAAATCTTAAGATATTTTGGGCAATGCTCTCTCAATAAAAGAGATGTTGGTGTAGACATTTTGAGGTTTATTTACTACCAAACATGAATAGGAAAAAGACCTGTTAAAATTTAAATGTCATATACTACTTACACACAGACAAAAACATTGGCCTTACAAACTTTGTGGAGTAAACACCTCAGATTTCTATGCAAATCTAAAAGAAAAATACTACACGGAATAAATACATATCATACATGTATTTAGAAAGCTTATAGGAGACTTTTCAATCTGATGTATTTTTCATGAGTACTATTAATGCATGTTTTAGAACATACTCAATTTAAAGTCTCATTTTTTGCTCCAATAAACTTTTCTGAAGTGGTCAACACAAACTTATTATAATAATACTTGAATCAATAAATACTTACATTTATCACAAACTGTGGGGATTTCTTCTGTAACTGAGATTGGCATCATGGCATATTTGTTGAATATAGACTTTTGTTGTATTTAAGGAGGCTCTTTACACCACTTTTTTGATGACATACTACACAAAAAAGTTAACCTCCATTGTTTTGTCCATTTTCTCTGGGGATGAATTGTATGGGTACCTTTATAATGTGACCTAGATCTTTAAAAAATATTCATGGTATCATTAACCTGCATTTGGATATTTGACATCTACGTTATAACTGGTGCTTTAATGGAATCTTAAATAACCTGTGGTGTAATGAGCCTCCTTTAGCTCTCGTGTATTAGTTAGTATAGGAAGAGGAATGACAAAACAATTTAGATCACATTACTGTGTTTTTTTGCTGCAGGCACGTGGAGCCATTGATTATTTAGAAATCAGTAAGGAGTTTGATACAGTCATTCTGCAAAACATCCCCAAAATGACGCTCTTCAATAAAACGGAGGCCAGAAGATTTATTACTCTGGTGGATACTTTCTACGATAATAAAGTTTGTATTTATGATTAATTTTTTACTCTCCAATTTCTGGTGCATTAGTCTTCATTCATATGTAAAGAAAATTTAATAGAAATTGAAACTAAAGAAAAAGACAATCAGATTTAAAAGAAGATTGAAGATAAAATTAGATATTTACATGATTATATTATTATTGAGGTCATACACTGTAGCTATAAATCAAGGCTGTTTCAACATTGAGAAGTTATCATGTAATAACAGGTTCGTTTAGTCTGCTCAGCAGCTGCCAAACCTAAAGAATTATTTAGTGCTGGAAATATGAGTCAGAAAAACTTTGATGACAACAGAAATCTTATGGATGATTTAGGAATTCAAGAGGCAAGCATAGCATAGTTTATACACTATCATAAATTAAGATTTATTCCCCTTTAGGGATTTTTCTCATCCATCTTTTACTTCAGAGAAACATTGTAAACTTGATAGAATTTTCTGAAATCCTGTGATAAATTATAGATCATTTCTGTGGTTTCCTTTCAAAATATGCTGAATAATGATTGAGTGAAAAATTTATGAAAGTTAAAAAAAATAGAATGAAGGATCAGAGTTCATCATTTTTAAGCTATAAAGATTTTTAGTGGAAAGAATTTCCACTTCTGTGTGATGATTTTTGTTTTCTCAACAGAAATCAGACTTGGCTGCCGCCAGTATATTCACAGGAGAGGAGGAGCTGTTTGCCTTTGAACGGACCGTGTCCAGGTTAACAGAGATGCAGACAGAAGAATACTGGAACCTGAGAGACACCAAACTAAGTTGATAAAGTGGGATTTTAGGAAATATTACATTTTTTATTTAATTTACAGGATGACGATAATTAAAGACTGTGATTATTTTAATGATATTAATTTTCTGTGATGTTATCTTTTAGCAGCACATACAAATATAACCAATTTTATCAGGGATTGAAATTTACACACATGATTTACAAAACAGTGATAAGTACGTTGTTGAATGGCAAATTATATCAGCAGATAATTTTACATTTTTTATAGCCCAATTGCAATTATTTGCTTTTCTTGTACACCTATAACGTATGTACTTGGGGAGGGGATATAAGTGTTTACAAACATCTCTTGTTTATATTTAAAATATCAGAATGATTTGTTCCTCTTTTGGCTTTTGGCTCACTGGAGGAGGGAGGGGGAAGGGTGCTGCAAAAGTTGAGTTATATTTTAAGTTTTTTTTCTATTATCCATTGTTTTCCCCTTTTTGTCTTCAAAACGACCTTTTGATGAAGTCTTTCAAATACATGTACTACAGATCTTATATATTCTAGTTAAGAAAGTTTCACTTTTTGTTTTACACCCATTCAAGATGATGTTCACAGGCAATGTAGTTTCTTGCATACAGGCAGCAGTGCTAAAATATTCATTGTATTACTAGTATCATTATTAACATTTTGTTATAATTTGTTCTGTATCAACATAATGTATGTCTTAAAAAAAAAAGAAATGGGATCAGAGGGATCATTCTTTGGAACCAGTGTTTGAGGATTTCATCCCCACAAACAATAACATCTCATAGAATATACTACACGTGTAATTATACGCCCACGAAATTACATCCTCGGAAACCATAAGATTTTGGTTACCAACAAACATTGACCATTTTGTTTTATAATGATTCAATGAAATATATAGAGATGACGAACAGTATTCAAGCTCAAACGTCCATTAAAAAATACAACATTGGATCAAAGCAAACACGGGCCTCTAAAACATCAGAGGTGGGATCAGGTGCCATGGAGGACTGCATTCTGAGCATCCCCTGTCGACCGGTTCAAAAAGTTCAGTATTGGTTAATAGCAAATATTTTTTAATGACTATAGAAACTTAAGTTGCATAATTATGCTTTGTATAGTGTTAGAAATTTTGTTGTACTTTGTAATGGGTAATTAACTTAATGATTATACAATTGATATATTTTTGAGACTACCTGATGTTTGTTTTTACATAACCGGTGATAGATTGGTTTTATGTAAATTGACTTCTCCGTATTTTACCAGTAATAAAGTATGAATTAAAACAGAAGACTAGTATATTATTTATTTAAGGCGAAGACGTTTATGCATAACATTTTCACGCAAGTCATCAATTTACGGGCTAGAAGCCCGGCTTCTGTTTCTATTTGTTCCGCCCCGCACGTGATTTTTTAAATCGCGCCTATCGATGAACGAGTAGACTTATGTAGAAATATAGACCTCTTTTAATCTGTTCTGTTGAGAGCAGTAATTTTTGCAGAATTTAATAAATAATGCAAAATCTACGTATTATAAGGAAGTAATTGAAAATAGTTCTACTTCAAAGGAAATGTGGGGCCATTTAAATCAGCTGGCCTCAAAGTCAGACAAAAACTCGTCTCCTTCCAATATAACATATAACGGTTTAGATCTTAATAATCTACAGGATATTGCAAATGCCTTTAATGAGCATTTTGTTCAAATTCCAAAAAAATTATTGGATAATCTTGCGTGTACTAAATTTGAATTAGACAAATTGAAAAGATACACGGAGACGAAACTTGGAGATCAAGACTTTTTTGAAATTCCTTTGATTAATGAATAAAAAGTATTTGAAATGTTAAAAAGACTTGATGTAAACAAATCTGCTGATATAGACTTTCTTGGACCTAAATTGCTTAAACTTTCAGCTAGTATAATATCCAAACCTCTAACACACCCTATAAATTCTAGCATTATCAAGGGATCTTTTCCTTCACAGTTAAAGGTCGCAAAAGTATCTCCCCTGTTTAAAAAGGGAGATAAATCAGACCCAGGAAACTATCGCCCAATCTCAATTTTACCAACTATATCGAAACTTTTAGAGAAGCATGTAGCAGAAAATATATATACGTATCTTTACTTCTCACTTTGATTTATTAATTAAAGCACAATCTGGATTTCGAGATCTTCATTCGTGTCAGACAGCTCTCACAAAACTAACTGATAATTGGCTGCATGCAATAGATCAAGGGAATTTTATTGGCATTACCTATCTGGATTTTACTAAAGCATTTGATCTTGTTAATCATGATATACTCATTAGAAAACTTAAATGCTATCACTTCGATCCAATATCAATTAAATGGTTTCAATCATACTTATATGATCGAACCCAAAGTGTTAAAATTGGTGCGTACACATCTGAATCACTGCCAGTCACAGTATGTGCCACAGGGCTCTATTTTAGGTCCTTTGTTGTTTCTATTGTATATTAATGATTTACCATTATGTGTTGAACATTGTAATATTGATATGTTTGCTGATGACACTACAATGCATTTTCATGGTAATAATATTTCACGTATTGAAACAACTCTTAATCATGAACTCTGTCAAATACAAAAATGGTGTCAACAAAATCAGATGATTATAAATACTGATAAAACAAAATGTATGTTAATGGGAAAACAAAAGAAATCTAAATTAGAAAACGTTAATTTTCATCTGCAACTTTCCGGCCAGCCCCTAGAAAACGTAGAGATGCAAAAATTGTTAGGTGTTCACATTGATCATAATCTTCATTATACTTGTCATGTAGATGCAGTTTGCAAAACTCTTACATATAGATTATTTACTTTACGAAAAATTAAAAGGTTTCTTCCAATGCATACCAGAAAACTATTTTATAATGCTTTTATTCTACCATCAATTTTATATTGTCTATCCATTTGGGGCAATTGTCCTCAAACACATATGGATAGAATCTACAGATTACAAAAACGAGCAGCTAGGATTATTTTAAATGAAAAATTTGATACACCTTCATTGTCTTTATTTAACACTTTAGGTTGTCTAACTATTTATGAACTTTTATATTTACAGAAAAGCATTCTGATGTTCAAAATATTTAATGCGTTACGCTCAGAAACAAATTCAGAACTTAGATTACCAAAATATAAAACGAACTTATTTAAAAATTCTTTACAATATTCAGGGGTTATTATCTGGAATGAGTTACCAATTAATATCAGGAAGTCCCAATCCCTGGCAATATTTAAAAGAAATGTTGATAATTTTCTGCTGATGAAACGCAATGATTCTATATGATTTTTTGTTCTTCTCTCTATATATATTGAAATGTCGATGTTTTAATACTTTGTAACATATACTTGATTTTTATTGTCTCATAATTGTAATTCTATTTATTGTGTATATGCATTGTATATATGTTTTAAAGAAGGCCCCGAGGAAGACTAGTGCTCGCACTAATCGGGTTACCTTCTCTAAATAAAGTATTATTATTATTATTATTATTATTATTATTAAACGTGGACACAAGCATAGTACAGCTCCTGTAACTTGTATATTTCCCTCCTTATACATTCTGACTCTATAGCACAAGATGATTACAATTATATTTCTCATCTGTTCAACTGCTTTCTATGTGAAAAAGCTGACATTTTCCTTAGTTACTTTCCGAAATCTACTGCTTTCTATGTTAAAAAGCTGACATTTTCCTTAGTTACTTTCCGAAATTTAGTATCATGAGAGATCCACCCCACTGCAAAATATTAAAGTTTCGAACTATAAATGTTAAATAATTTTTCTTTGAAAAGTAACAATTAACTATATAATTAAATTAAAACTAAATTTATCTAGCTGTACGTCCGTCTGTCTGTTACGCTTTGAGGTACCCATTTCTTATCCGCAACTCCTCCTTTACCAGTGATGACATTTAATGAGACTTTTACAGAATCTTTGTTATGTTGCGACCATATTAGGAAAACACGAGGGAGTATCTAGAATGATATCTTGTCAAGAGTGGCAAGGACACCGCATTGAATCTAATAAAAATCAGATCTTTGCTACGATTCGAAACACTGATGGTCGCTGCCATCAAAAGAACGTTAATGGATATATTTAGGAAAAAAAATGGAGACAAAATATTTATGAAATTGAGGAAAATAAAGAAATAAAAGAGCTGCCGAAGAACAGCCGAGCCACGGTGACTCGAGTGAGCAATGTGACCCATGGGCCTCTTGTTAGTAAGACAACAAATTGGTCTTACATGTATCTCTTAATTTTCTAATTTGTAAATCATTTTTTTAAATACCCGGTATGTTTTCAATAAATTTTGAGTTTTTGCATTAGATTTAAACTTTCTCCGGCTTATCTCACTATTTATTTCTTGAATTGTGACCAAAAAAGTGTATAACTACAGTTTTTCTTTCAAACAATTTGGCAATAGTTCAATTAATGTAGATAAGAGTAAATATTAAGGTATCTGACTTTAATCATTTTAAAACAACCAGTATAAGACACGAACATACACAACACTTACAATCACAAGATACAATAGCTACCCTCGTGATGGCGAGATAAAAATAGATTATACCCTCCAGTGTTTATCCCAATAACAACAGCATGAAGACAGCGGTGGGGATCTCTGTTGTTTTGTCCCTCTGGGGGACTGTGACGTCACACCTCTGTCTGGTCACTCCCACACAGCGAGGGGAAATGGACATACACCAGGTCAGAATACAAGTACTTTAATTATTTAATTTTTATACAACGTCCTTATGAGGAGGATACACAAATTAGCAAAACATTTTACATTGAACATCGTCAATATGTGCACCGGTATTATACATTGTTATAATATGGATACCGTGTACATCAAAAGAATATTTATATTTTTAAGTAAAAACAAACTTTTCTGTGGTTGTAGAGTGGAAGTTCGACTTGTTTCCGTCACGGCGCCCCGTGTGGAGGGGAGAACCCCACCCAGGGACCTTATGAGACCTATACTGGGGGCCAACAGGTGTTTATTAAATGGCTACAGAATTTTAACCATTATGAAATCGGATATCCGGGTAAGGAATCCATTGGTTTTACATATAAATGGTAAATTGCATTTCTAATTTTGGCATGATAAGACATTTTCATTCCCTTTAACCTGTTTTTCACAAAGATGCATCTCCTTTATATAATAATTTTGAATATCCTTGTTATTCTTTCTTTTAAAAATCGATGATACCATCGGTATATATTTCTGGCCTATTTTTGTAGCAAATGATGCAACTAATGAAATTCCCAAAATATCAACTTCAAAACATAATTTTTTGAAACCTTGAATGAAAATTAAAAACTAAGTGATTAAATTTGTTCTTCACTTTACTCACTGAAACTTGACTCAAGTTGTTATTTTCAATTTTTATGACAAAAGTTTGTTTGTATCATCTGTCCTTAAATTAAAAAAAAAACCCACAAGTATGTCATAATACGGAAAAGGAGAAGGGGGTCCGAAAGAAATGCCATTTATGTTAATTTTGATGAAAAGTTTCATAATTTCTCCTTTTCTGACAGGTTATATGGATGTGTCTCTGGCTCCATACAATACAGATGATTGGCAGGTGCTGGCCTTTGCCCCTGATGAATATGTATATAATCAGGACCATCAACAAAACTACACAGCGTTCGTAGTATGTATTAGGTTACTATCAATAACTGAAATCTACAAAAGAAACTATGACATGTAGTATCAAAAAAGTTAAACCCACCTTATAATTATGAGACATTTTCTTTTTTATACTTGATATACGTGCAATGACCATCTAGGCTTCTGTAGGACAGTTTTGTATAGTATGAAAATGTGTGCATGGTACTTGGAAGTTTAATTCCATCTACTGATCTAGTCATTTCTGTGCATAAAACAAAAAAGCATATCGACCGAGCACATGTCGATATATCTATGGGTCGACCTCATGAAAGGGCTATATGTATATAAAATTGTCGTGACGTCACATCGTATAGTTTTCAGAATACTTTCTTTTGAATATAGTTTAGATGATATTTTTTATTATAGATTTTTTAAAAATTATCAATTAACTGTTTAACATAGGTGCTGCCAAACAAAGCATGTGAGCATTGCGTTCTGCGAGCTCGATACGAGTCGCATAAACCTGGGGAGCAGACTTTCTACCAGTGCGCCGACATCACCATAAAGGAATCGCCAAACCTCAGCCCTAAAGTCAGCGAGCCTGTTACCGCGCTGTTACAGCACACAGAGTACCAAAGAGCCTTCAAAAAGTATTCTGTGATCACCAAGGACGCAGTCAATGACGTCAACTATGACGTGGCCTTAAGGGGCTTCGCTTATTCACCGTTTGACCCCAACACTTTGTTAATTGTGAATGTGACATTAGATGGTTCAATCCACCCGTTTGGAAAGTTTGACATGCGAGTTGACTTACACATAAATAAAAACAAAGACAAAACAAAAGATTCTTTGATTACCAATAAGTTGGTCAAAAAGAGGACACTTTCTCCCAGTTTTATTCTCGATTCTCTGGTGACTGTGAACAATTGGAATAATTTAGTTGTAATGTACAACGCTGTAGGTGATTACGACAAACCCACGCCTATGCTGGCTGAGTTTGACACGCATCAAGGAACAATGAGTTCGTCACAGATCGAGGGATTTGACGGGAGTCCGATCAACGCATTGCTGTCTAATCAGGATGACTCTTACTACACCTTCAGCATTGAGGACGCGGGTCAAAAAGGTAATGGCATATTTATTACACCTTCAGCATTGAAGACGCGGGTCAAAAAGGTAATGGCATATTTATCACACCTTCAGCATTGAGGACGCGGATCAAAAAGGTAATGGCATATTTATTACACCTTCAACATTGAGGACGCGGGTCAAAAAGGTAATGGCATATTTATTACACCTTCAACATTGAGGACGCGGGTCAAAAAGGTAATGGCATATTTATTACACCTTCAGCATTGAAGATGTGGGTCAAAAAGGTAATGGCATATTTATTACACCTTCAGCATTGAGGATGCGGGTCAAAAGGTAATGGCATATTTATTACACCTTCAACATTGAGGACGCGTCAAAAAGGTAATGACATATTTATTACACCTTCAGCATGAAGATTGGGTCAAAAAGGTAATGGCATATTTATTACACCTTTAGCATTGAAGATGCGGGTCAAAAAGGTAATGGCATATTTATTACACCTTCAGCATTGAGGACGCGGGTCAAAAAGGTAATGGCGTGTTCTGAATTCTCATGAATGCGATGTTTTGCAGCACTACTTTGTATAAAATACAGATACTTAAGAAAACACAACGTAGTTTGTTAGATATACCGAAATCCGTTATCTAATTGCAAATTAACACGTTTTCAACTATCGGTAACTCTTGTAAGCTCTCTATATCCAACAAAATATTAAAGCTCTGGAACCAACTGTTCAAGAGTTATGATAATGATTAATTTTTTTTATAAGGTAAGTCAAACAAGAAGGTCAAGGTCAAAATCATTGGTATTCAAAGGAAGACCTTGTCACAAGAAATACACCTATGAAAAATATAAAGGCCCTAGTACTAACTTTTCAGATGTTAAGTTCAAGGGTAAAGTTTTTCAGTTGGTCAAACTCAAAGGTGAAGGTAAAAATGTCCTACGTGTGAAATCCCTAGCTCTAACTTTTCAAAAGTTATGGTCATTGCCCGGGCTTTCATATTTTACAGGTTAATTATTGAGATAAATTTGTTCATTTCCGTAATCTTTTGACCGTGGAGCTCTAGAAACTTGAACCTTCGCTAAAAACTGCCATTCAGGGGCATCAGTATTTTAATTTAAAAACACATCTGCCTCTTTTATTATATATAGGTTACAATTTCGTTGTCGGACAACTTTATCTGATAAAAAATACCTTACCCTACCACTTCCGGAAGTTAATATCGAGCGGACCGGAACCTCTGTATGTGAATTATCAGTGGGCGGAGCTAGATGTAGAGAGACAACTGTTGTTTGTGTTGATGGGTAACGAGAACACTCCAGACAAGCTGCTGGCCAAACTCTACACATACGACATCAACAAAAAGTCAATACATATTCATAAGCATTCTGCCTGACTTAAATCAATATTTAACTGAATTAAAATTAACTGAACTACATATAAAATTATATATGATATAATAAATGATAGTTTATAGAAGTCTCTTATTTCCGATAGAAAGTATGCTATAAAAGACAACTTATTTTCTATTTTTAGGAATCTCTCAAGCATCGTGGATCTAGAAGTAAGCATGTACGCATACATGAATTTTCACTACTACAGAAAAACAGGTTTGTGTATTTTATAATTACCACGTACGGTCCATCTTGAAATAAGGAGAATTAGAGTTGGGCAATAAATGAAAAATAGTTGACCTTGCATATAAATTGAAAAATTAAAAAAAAAAAAAAATCAAGATAACTCGATGATTGAAATCATTATACATGTAATTAAAAATTAAATAGAAAATGAAAATTCAAAATATTAATCCAGTTGAAAGTAACTGATCATGGCTTACTGCTAGATAATTCTGTGTCGTAGGCATGCTATATGCGGTGTCGCCTGGAATGTTTTACACCCTTGGATATCCTTTCTACAGCCTCATTGAAATCAACCCGGCTACCGGAAAAATCACACGCTCATTCCGGTTCGCAGACTGGGGTAAGGTTACTTTATAAAATATGACAGACATAAAGACGGCTTTTTGTTTATACCAAAAACAAAATAATGTCTTTATTTTTTCTATTTATGCCGCATAACATGATTGCTAAAATAAAACAGATATTGAATTATTAATACTTATTGAATTTAAATAAATATACACTTTACGTAATAATATTTGGTTGGAACTTCTAATTTATGTGCACAAAGACAATGATAAATCAAATTTATATACACTTTTTCTCAGCGCTGAACAAAATCGTATATATATGTTGTGCACATGAACATGTGTCTTTTTAAGGACAGATGATACGAACAAACTTTTGTCAAAAGATTTGAAAATAACAACTTGGGTCACGTTCAAATGAGTAAAATGAACATGTTTAACCGCGTCGTTTTTCATTATTCATTCAAATTTACACTAAAATAGAATTTGAAGTGAAAAATATTCGTATAGATTAAAAAGGATGGTTTAAGAAGTGTAGACTTTTGAACATCACAGAAAGTTTACAATTTCTTTATATTCTAGAACTTTATTTGCATCGTTTGCAATGCAATTAGGCCAAAAGATATATACCAATCAAGGCATACATTTTTTGTTTATATCATCTGTCCTTAACAAACTACTTTGTGAGAAACACAAGGCCAGCCTTTTAAAAGATGTCAATTAATAAATAATTTGCTGAAAATGTGGTCCTGTGTTCTAAATATGAATTGACAATGAGTGGAAGTCAATAAACTAATTAGAAATGTAGTCAGCAAATGGCAATGTTAGATACAAACCACTCAGCCTTTTCAACTAGAACTATAAATAATTAATTGTTTCACAATAAGTGTATTTAAAATTCAAACCAGTCAAAAAATGTTTTACGATTTTGGAATTCTCTATAAATGTTTACAGAAAAACCCTGCTTATTTATAAGTCCTTTTCATCCCTCTTACCGCCATCAATATATGTTCCCTATAAAAATTTTAAATATTTTAATCAAAATTTGCTCCTATTTAAATTGAAAAATTCAAATTTCATAGAGAATAATTATATGTATGCACATCAAATATAATCATTTTGATATTTTACGGAGCAACAATGCTTATCTTGTATACATGTACTTACATGTAATGAGGTTTTTGTATATACTTCTCATTATAGAAATATCTTTACCTCGTATTGCTTGTCATTACAATACGAATGATGTCATTCCTTCAAGACATTTTTTTTCTTATTTAGTTTGTATGTATATTTTTTCTTGTTTTGTTTTTTCGCACACTTATTTTTTTAGTAATTGTGCGGATTTGGTTCTGTGTTTAGTATTCTTCTATGTATATCCGGTTTTATACAGATTTCCACGACCCATGGCTTTGCTCGCTATCTTCCTTGAATATATTCTTATTTTTGACACCAATGACTGAATTTGTAAATAGTATATCTAAGCCATGGATAGTAAGTAGATTTTTATTTATCCCTTTGTATGTCGCCAACTGCAGTGATAAATATTCTAATATTCGTTATCATGTCACTGTGGTTCGCATTCTTCTAATACTTGGATGCATTGAAACAAACCCAGGTCCTTCAAATAACATGAGACTTAGTTCATTGAAAATAGCACACAACAATGTGTGCAGCTTACTACCAAAACTTGATATTATTACTGCAGAACTATCACATTTTGATATTGTAACAATTAGTGAAACACATCTTGATAACAGCATAGAAAATGAGGTATTAGGTATAAATGGATTTCATCCACCTATTCGTCTAGACAGAAATAGGCATGGAGGAGGAGTTGCAATGTATATATCCAATGAACTTGCATTTTATGAGCGTAAAGATTTAAATACTAATAATTTAGAAATCTTATGGTCAGAGGTACATGTTATTAAGAAAAAAATTCTTGTTGGTGTATTGTATAGGCCACCTAATTCATTAGCAGACTATTGGGACAGTTTTTGCTCAAATATTGAAAAGGTACTGGAATGTAATTTACCAATCATTCTACTAGGAGATTTTAATGTCAATGTTTTGGTAGATCAAAGTACACAGTTTAAGCTTCTCTTACAAAGGTTTGGTCTATCGAATTTGATTCATGAACCTACTAATTTCACTCGGAATGTGGGTACATGCATAGATCTAATCATTACAAACAACACCGGTATAATTAATGAGAGTTTTGTCTATCCCCCTTGTTGTAGTAGTCATTCTGTAACTGGAGTGGAAGTTAAGTTTCATATATTGAAACAGTATGCTTATAAAAGAGAGATAAGGGACTATAAAAGTGCTAATTATAAAGGTCTTAATGATGAATTAAATGCAACTGATTGGGACACTGAAGTCTTTAATTCTCATAATATCAATGAAATAAATACAAATTTTGTACACAAAATAAATGCGTGCATTAAAAAACATATCCCAACAAAAACCATAACAATCCGTCCCAGAGATAAAGTATTTATGAATAATTCTATTAGAAAACTAATGAGGAAAAGAAATCGTATACACAAGAAAGCAGTGAAAACTCAAAACCCCCAACACTGGGAACACTACCGCATTTTAAGAAACAAAGTAATTGATGAAATTAGAGCTTCACGAGATAGACTTAACCAAAAACTTTCAGACCAAATAGACAAATCTATACCCCCTGGTAAATGGTGGAGAATAGTTAAATCTTTATCCAAACAAAATAATAAAAGCAAACCACCACCACCTTTAAAGTCCTCAAATTATACATACTTTCATCCTATTGAAAAAGCTAACTTACTCAATGAATATTTTGCTGGAGTTTCAACCCTTTACAATGAACCTGAGGTACCATTACACGGACCGGGACCACCATTGAACTTTTCATTTGATGATTTTGTAATCACAGAGCAAGAAGTATTGGATCAGCTCCAAGTTATAAATGTTACTAAACCTCCAGGTCCTGACTGTATGTCACCTTTGATTCTTAAAAATATAACTAACTCGATAGTAAAACCCCTTACCAAATTATACAATTATTCACTTACTACTGGGCAACTTCCAGACATTTGGAAAAATTCACAAATTACTCCCATCTATAAGAATAAAGGCAGTGCACAAGATGTTAATAATTATCGTCTAATATCAATAACCTCAGTTGTATGTAAAATCTTAGAAAAAATCATATTCAAGCACTTGTATAATTATTGCCTTGAAAATAATTTAATTAATAAATATCAATCTGGATTTCAACCTGGTGATTCCACAACAAATCAATTATTAGAAATATATCACACAATAATATCTAGTCTTGATAAAGGTAAAGATATTAGATTTGTCTTTTGTGACATTTCAAAAGCATTTGATAGAGTATGGCATAAAGGTATCCTTTATAAACTAAAATATTATGGTATATCAGAACAAATTGTTAATTGGATTGAGAATTACTTGTCCGATAGAACTCAAAAAGTAGTTCTTGATGGCTTTTCATCAACTACTAGAGCTACCAATTCAGGTGTCCCACAAGGGTCAGTCCTGGGTCCCTTTTTATTCTTATTGTATATTAATGACATATCTGAAAAATTATCATGTCCTGTAAGGCTTTTTGCAGATGACACCTCTCTTTATGTCATAGTTGATGATGATATTATTAATTCTGTAAACATATTAACTAAAGATCTTGGACAAATAAGACAGTGGTCAAATATATGGGCAGTAGAATTCAATCCTTCTAAAACAGTCAATCTAGATTTTAGCAGGAAAAATATTTGCCATCCAAAAATTAAGTTTGGTGAAGATGGGCCCACTATTAAAAATGTTGAAACACATACTCATTTAGGAATAAGATTTCAACAAGATGGTAATTGGAGATCCCATATACTTGATATTCATGCTAAAGCATGTAATCGCTTAAATATCTTAAGAATGTTAAAACACACACTTAAGAGGGATGCTTTGATAAAAATATATTTTGCTTTTATTCGTCCTGTTCTTGAATATTCAGATATTGTATGGGATAATTGTAATGAAAGAGATGCAAAATTACTGGAAGATGTTCAGGTTGCAGCTGCACGAATAATAACCGGTTTAAGAATCAATTCATCAAGATCAAAGCTTTATGAAGAGCTTGGCTGGGATACTCTTGAAATAAGAAGAAAAATACATAAACTAGTGTTATTTTATAAAATAGTGTATGGATTAGCACCCCAGTATTTGCAAGATTTATTACAACAATGCATTCTTCCAGATAATTCTTATCCCTTAAGGAATCTGGACAATCTTACATTTCATATTCCACAAGCCAAAACAACTTCATTTATGAAAAGTTTCCTACCTTCAACTATAAGACTTTGGAATGATTTACCATTTAATATCCGAAACCTTTCTTCACTTACATCATTCAAAACTGCCATAAAGAATATATATTGCATAAAACCTAAGAAATATTACAATTATGGAAGTCGTAAAATGAATATATTGCATTGTCAATTGCGAAATAATGCTAGTAATTTAAATGATGACTTATTTAATCATTTTTTAAAGGAAGATAAAAGTTGTAACATGTGCGGATTTAGTTCAGAAACATCATATCACTATTTTATGAATTGTCCAAAATACTGTATGCAAAGACAGAACCTAATACAAAACTTTAATACTTTGCAATTACCAGTGCCTTTATGTTTACAACTTATTTTAAATGGAGACAATAATCTTACATACAACCAAAATATTGCAATATTTAAACTTGTTCAAGAATTTATTGCTACTACAAAGCGATTTGCATGATATTATATCTGCTATTTTTTTTCAATTGTCAAATCACAGAACCAAAACCTATTTATGTTTTCTTATTCATTTTTTTTTAATTACACAATCAACAATTATTACTATAATTGCCAGTCATACATGTTAAAATATAAATTTAAATTATATTAACAGCTCATATATTTCTCTTTTTTTGTTTGTTCCCCTTAATTTGCCTTGTCATATACATTTCTACTGAATATATGCATGTATATAATTATATTTTTCAATGTTATATTAATAATGTTTACTTGTACATGTATGATGTTGACCTTGTATTGTGGAAAGGACTTATATAGGCAGTGCCTGCTGTCCAATCCAATTATGTTTTTCATAATAAAATATTGTTTAAAATATCAAATATAATCAAACAACCTTAGATGAAGATCATCTAAGGTTGTTTGATTATATTTGATGTGCATACAATGAGTGGAATACATAATTATATGTATGCACATCAAATATAATCAAACAACCTTAGATGAAGATCATCTAAGGTTGTTTGATTATATTTGATGTGCATACATATAATTATTCTCTATGAAATTTGAATTTTTCAATTAAAATTTGAATAGGAGCAAATTTTAATTGAAATATTTAAATTTTCATAGGGAACATAGATTGATGGCGGTAAGAGGGATGAAAAGGACTTATACGTAATGTATTTGTTCTGTTTGTAGTAGGTTTTGGAGAACGTTTGGGCTTTTTTTTAGGTCATTTGGAATGACTTTTTTTTTATTTTCAACTTCTTCCTATACTGCATAATGTATTTTAATAAAATGTACACTAAATCCAAAGGATAAGTAAACTTAGCACAAATTAAAAGCTTTTGTTTAATAGAACGGGCACTTGGACACATATTATTCAGAAGAAATCACACCATCTCTCTCTTGGTAACTTGTAATTCTAACCATTTGTAGGTTACTTCCGAGGTTACTTTGGAGGCGCCGTGTTTGGAGGTCTAGATCAGGACACCGGTATCCTGTATCACGTGATGACCATGCAGGATACTAATTCTGAAGTTATTGCTAGTATTGACGTCAACAGCGGAAAAGTGACGTACTCACAGATGACGAACCTGAAGCACGTGCATAATCTGGCACTAACAAACAATAAATTCAGGCAGACATAAGTTTGTATTAAAGTAGACATATTTGAAATAAAAATTGATATGAAATGGTATTCTTTATATCATCTTAATTTCTTTATTTTTGGTGACCAGAAAGATAAAGCATAACAATACTACAAGTCTCTGTAGCATTAACACCTGAAAATACACAACCAAGATGAAAATTATTTCCATGATGTTTTGGCGCGAAGTGACAATTATAATAGCATGTACATAAAAAGATGGCAAATAAGATGAGTCTTTGCATGCCTTGTCAACATATGAAAACCACTTTGCATCAGACATACTGAGTCGTCACACAATGGGGAGAGGTGCAACATATATATTTATAGTCAATCTACTAGGTCCTGACCTTACTTGTACAAACACAACACAAATTTTCTGGTAGTGTGAACTCAAAACATGCAACATTCTCGCAACCATGGTCTCCGGAATAGCGTATGGTCAAGATGTAGCAACCAAATGTGCATCTGTGAATGCATATTTAAAAAAAAATATATTTGGAAGGTAAAATGACCAGTTTCTTATGAAAAGATAAGATTCAAATACCTTAGTCATCATTTTAAAAAAAGGAGGACTGTGGCAACGCACTTTGAAAAAAATTTTCAAAGTGCGTTAAATTTTGGACCAACTCAACGCACTTTGAAAAAAATTTTCAAAGTGCGTTAAGAGTCTACATCAATATATATTACCATGGAGACATTTAACGCACTTTGAAAAAAAAATCATATTTTAGTAATGGAAAGATTTTATTTGTTATTTATCTTTCAAAAAACTAAGCCTAACCCTAACCTCAAAAATGAATTGATTTACTCTAGTCGAAAAGAGGAGAAGACGGGTATAAGATCCCTCAGTCCAAATCTTTCTCTTTCCAATACATAGGTGTCGGTAACAAACAGGGGAGGGGAGCAATAAACCTAAAAAGGGTTCGTTACATTTTCAATGCTCATACAATGTACATGTATATATCTTTCCAAAATAAGTGGGGGGCTTAGCCCCCATCCATCCCCTCCCCTGGCCCTATCGCCCAGTCTCGATGTCTATGCTAAACTCAAAGCATTCATATAATTATGTATTTACCTAACTGGTATGACGTTGAAAACTTTCAATAATAAATGAGTTAATTAAAACATATGAAAACTAGAAATTTTTAAGTACAGTAAAACGTATGAGAGAGAAAGAATTTTTGTAGTTTTGAACAATCAAATTGGCCCCTTTTTATTATGATAAATGCTAAGTTGCTTAAAGCTGTCCACTGTTAGTGGCCCCTATACACCTTTACATCTACTTATCAAAGACTAGAATTAAAAAAAAAAAGAAGAAACGAATTAATGAACTTAAACAATCGTCACTCTTTTTTTCAAGACCCTTTAATTTTCCCTTTTATTTTATCAAAACCTTAAATATAAAACGTCAATATCCCAGATCCTACAGTGACTTATAATAAAAAAGTTATCAAACCAGGATCTGTTTTTTATCATACCGATTATTTAAAGGAATATTGATCAATCTTTACATTTTTTTTTTCAGTGCGTTAATATGGTCGTTAGCTTGGTCCCAAATTTTAACGCACTTTGAATTTTTTTTTCAAAGTGCGTAATTTTTCAAAGTGCGTTGTAACAAGGACTGATGCAAATCTGTTAGTGAGCATCCCTATATGCCATAATCTATGCATATGTTGGATAGTATAGGACTTGCAGTGACTTGGGAATGAACTCGCTTATAAATCTTGAACTGGATGGACAACTAGTTTAGCAAAATATCGTAGCAATCTTTTTTCTTAATTTACCTTCAAGTATACTTTAGCTAGTGGTAGCTACACATCTTTTTTACACACTACACATTCATTACTGCTTTGAAGATAACTTATATGACAACCAATCAAAATTAAGATAAATATTCTCCAAACAAGGTCGTAATGCAGGACAAACCTATTGGGGTTGAACTGCAATTACTTTAAAGGAAAATTTATGCATATTAGAGAAGCTAATTACCGCTTCGTTCAATTTAAAAAAAAAATGCTTGCTTTAATTTGATTGCAATAGTTAATGCAAAAGATATTCCGTTATAACGAAATACTCATGGACCATTTAAAGGACGTGATAATTTACTCTCTCTTAATTCAGATGTTAGGTAAGAATTTGATTATACTTTGCACAGAAATCTGTTAATCGATTATATTTCATCAATTCTTAACAATTGCCCAGGAAACATTCAAATTCTTATAAAGGATGAAACCGGTCAGTGATTAAGATCAACAGTCCATTAAAATACAAATCATGAGCAGAGAAAAAACGGGTCTATTAATCATCAGAGGTGGGATCAGGTGTCATGGAAAAGAATTTATTCTCTGACGACCGGCCAAACACTACGTACACTCCTTATCATTATCCGTAGATAATTCATTGCATAGCAATAATTATGTAAATCATAAGTTAGAATTTGAATGATTGATTGTACTTACTGACAAATTCATTGTATTAACCATAGAACTCATGAAATGATGACTTTAAACGAAATTTTTGATGTCCTTGTTTCTCCTATGTATTTTACAATAACTTAAGGTCAGACGACACGTTCCTCAAAAATATGTTTTGTATTTCCTAATATTAAAAATAAAAAAAATTATTCATCATTGGCTTTCTGTTGTGATTTCTATGCTGTTTTCAATATGATTTTAAATATAAGTACAATGAAAATTGTGACACAGACCATTCAGAAGATAACCCATAAGGTTTATATAAGAAATATCCCCATCTGGTATCTTGTCCAAATGTCTGGTAAGGTACCTGAATTTTTGTGAGGAAACTTCTTTAATTACCTTTACTTTAATGACAATTTCTTTGGAAAAATTATATATTTTGTAGGAACGTGTCGTCTGACCTTAAAACACGTTTAAATTAAAGACTTGTTTGTACGTAAAGCACTAGCTCTTGCGTTTCGAACAACTGGAGACATAAAACCTAGGTTCAGGTGATATGGGTATATTGCTGTATAAGGGAAATTGACGAAGTTGAAGTAATGGATCTGTAATCCTTAGCTTCGACTAATTAGCCTGAGCGTTTTATCAATGTAACATAAACAACAAACAATTTGATAAACATAAAAAGTGTTTTTTTTATTTTGCACACAGGCACATTCAGATACACCCTGACACACACTAAAAGGGATTTTTCAGACATTTTGGAACTTTGCTTCAAATCCTTTTCGATCTCAAATAATAAGAAAAGAGTCATACAGTTGTGTGTCAAAAGTGAAGATAATTTTATTTTTTCTTTATATATTTCATTGAAAACAATATTTTGTAAAATCGCTGGTATGACAACATTTCTTGACAGATTTTACAAAAAATTTCTTGATAATCCAAGAAATTGTTGTAGTTAAACATGTTAAAAAAACAATAGTTTTTATCTGATAAGCATTGATAATTTAAAAATGTTGTAATTTAAGTGTGACATGAATTTTTAAGTCATATACTCACAACGAATTATATAGTCAACACTGATCTTAAATTTTAGAACTGATGTTTAGTGATGAACTATATTTTACTACATATTAAACGTGTAATGATCTTTTAAAGAAAGATAACTACACATTTTCTGGTTTAAGTACTGAAATAAATAATTAAATTGGACAAAAATTGACCATTTACCTATGATTTTACAAAATGTTGTTTTCAATGAAATATATAGAGAAAAAATAAAATTATCTTCACTTTTGGCACGCCACTGTATATTTGGAATCTGTGAAAATTATTCGAGCTAATTTGAAATTATTTATATTATTCGTCCTTTTTTCTGACTCCGAATGATTGACAAATAGATGTCAATTAAACTCAGCATTCTTGCCCTTTTAATTTGTTCGAGCATAAAACATATGTTCATGTGTACAATAGAGAAGTTTTATCATACTTTTTTCAAATGATAAGTTTTTAACTTTGGTTATTTTATAACTATTTGACACTTATAACTCAATCAAACGCACTCATTTTTTTCTTTGATGTCCTGTCAGTGAACAATTATTATATTAATTCATTTAACGACTCGGTACGTATATTGCATTAAACTCGAAATAAAATTTATCACAGAATCTGTCGTATATGAATGATATTTAGATGTATTACTGATTACTGCCACATTAACATTGGATGGTTTCAACTTTTCCATCGATTTGATCCATTTGTGAATTGTAATATCGTATGCATATAGAGTTAATGTTTGTCTTCCAAAATGAACACAATAGCATGTTAAGAAAACGAAACCTAATTCTAAACTGATATTGACAAGTAAGCTGATTCTACGAGGCATTATCCGAAAATAGTTTAATATCAGTATTTGCAAAGTCTTTGGTTTTTATATGACCTTGTTTGCAAATACAATCTATCGTTGGATCATTTTTAAACTCACATAATGCAATTGTTTAATTCTAATGTTTTGAGCATAAATTACTTTGTTTACCTGATCAATTTCGAGAATTTTCTGTAGGCGTGATTTGGTCAATAGGGTATGTACTCCTTGAAGATAACCTTACTATTTCATGGGGTCCTTCTTTTTTTCAATACATTTTTTGTATTGTTAATATGACTTGAGATTGGTATCTGTTCGTCTCTCACCTTGCATAATTGGCAAGGCTATCTGGTTTATAAGTAAATGGACGATACACATTAGCCATATGAAAACAAATAACAGTTTTATCTTTAAAAATGATTATGATTACCTTACAGTGAAACAATCTCTCAGCATCAATTCCCCTTTTATCAGCAACTGGGAGTCCATTCAAACCCAGACTTATAGTCCAATTTTTATTCTTCATCCACTTGGCGAAATGCCAATAAAAGTGGACTTGCAAATCCGGGTCTCCAGAAACGGAAGTAACTATATGTTCTCGGGATTCGGCGCTGGACAGAGAGGGGAGGAGGAGGGGGATACCCGGTACGGCGCAGTGTTATATTCCTATAACGAATCTCATGTCCGCCTTCATGTTCCTGTCAGCTCAATAACAAATGAAGGCGGGCTAATAAATACTGGTATGTATCTGTCTTTATCATATATTATATCTTTTATACTGAAATAATTATATTCTTATGCACATTCAGTGTTTTCATTTGGAATCAACAGCAGGTTTTACTGGTCCGTTTGATGCGTATTATTTTGCCGCAGACGTCCGGATTAGAGCCTGGCGTATCTGTGACTTCCCTCCAGCAAACTTTAGCACCAACATATATGGAGTCGGGGGTCCACGTGAGTACTGTTAACTTAAATAAGTTTTCAGATATCACATATGTGATTTATATTATCAGTTTTTGTCCAGGCTGTATTATCCAATAAGCAAATATGTACATACTGTGTAGATAGTTCGTTCGACGACTTACATAAGCCATATGCACTGCAGTCCGTAAAAAAGTCTCAGCTCAGAACGATGAGTTGAAAAAAAAATGTTTATCAATCATTGTAGCTAGGTTACGGTAATAAGTCACAGTAAATAAAACATTGTTTTCTTACTTTGCACATCCACATATCAGATATAATTATTTTACCTTTAGGTGCATCCTCGCAATGCTAGGGGTCCTCAGTCAGCAATTTGCAGTAGGACTCATGGCAAATGTCATTAGATATTAATCATCAGCTTCCCATACTTCTTCATTCACATCCATACAGGGTTTACTATCTCTCAACCGTCTCCTATTAGAGACAAATTCAACTTAAATGTGCTTTATCCTTTTACGAAACTGAAGAATGGTATTCATTTTTGATTTAACAGCCTACTCTCCAGGGGTAAACCTTAACCACAATCTGGGTGTCATTCCTGACTTAGTTATTGTTCAACTCAAAATGGCGGACGGTTTTGTGTATGAGGCGGATGGTAAGTGTTCCTTTATATTCGAAACTATTTCCTGAAAAAAAATTGGTATTTATAACATTTGTTCACTCATGGGGTTATCCAAACTTAATCTTTTTTATTATTTTTCTCCTTATGAAGAAAACAATCGTATGAAATTGTTGAATCATAGGTAAATATGATCTCCACTAATAATCCTTCTTGCTTTGAATAGCATTTCGACCATTAAAATCAATAAAAAAAATTCACACAAATTGCTACAAACCAGAGAGAGAGAGAGAGAGAGAGAGAGAGAGAGAGAGAGAGAGAGATGGCAAATTCAGAAACATACTCTGTGTTGGGTATTTTTAGGATGACTTTTATAAATCTTTCAACAAAAATGGCTTCCAACTTCTGATCTTAGGTGCTGTTTTTAAAGACAGGCGTTTATCGTCTGATAGAGCCTGTGGAACTGTTTTTGCATATGACCTCACCAGTATACGTGTGTGGGGAATGGCAAAAAGGCAAGGAACTGGTAAGAACAAATAAAAGAAAAAACAACTCACATTAGCTTCAGTGAAAGGTAAACGATTTTATTTTTAAAAAATGAAATAATTTCAAATCTGAGATGCCCGACACCTTAAAGACTTGCTTGTACATGCAAGAGCGACGGGAAACACACTGTATAGAATTTACGCACTTTGAATTTTTTTAAAGTGCGTTTAGAGTGAACATAAAAAATGTTTACTATGGAGATACTTAACGCACTTTCAAAAAATATGTCTAAAATAAAATTTCGGGACTTAGATTTTGTTAAATGACAGCAATATTTCATGGTGTTATACTTTTAAAAAATTGTCCCTATACAAATCTTTATGAAAAAAGTCTAACATTTCTCATGTTTTTGGTGAGCGGGCATAAAAAATGGATGTTTGACCGCTGAGTTGGACCTGATGTTGGACCGGTCGGTGAGATGGACCGCTTACATCACAGAATGGGCGAGCTTAATCTCATTTGAATTCATTGGTGTTCAACAGTGACGGACCTGATGTTACGTCACGGAAGACATGTACACTGTATATGTCAAAAATTAAAATAAAGTGAGAGATCTCTGGCAAAATGCGTTTTGTCGACCCTCGAACCAAGCTGTCTGCCTTCGGTCTAACTGCCTCAGGCAGACAGTTTGGTTCTACGATAAAACGCATGCTACCCTCGAACTCAGTCAATAAATATATAATATTTCTTCAAAAAGCCGAAAAAATGATCTACCCTCACCGAAGAAGGTAGAGGGGCCTTCAGCCCATTTCTTTTTCGTCGTCTTTCCAACCCAAATATGTGTATATACATTTTCTCATTAAATTTAAATTCATGTAAAAGTGGACCCAACCGCAACTCATTTGGAGGTTCAATTAATTGAAAATAGGTAGAATTATTTGAAAATATGTTAATTTGGCATAACATAAAGAAAATGCAATGAATTTTTTGTATAATATTTATTTTAAAACAGTTGGATATGTTGGTTGTGCTTATAAAGGATGGGGGACAGGGTATGCGGCCAGCTTAGCCCTACTTGTTATTAGTGCTTGGATACTACCAGCAGAGGACATAGTTTTCACCCAGACAATCACCGTCGCCAAAAATTCCGTCCATCCTAATATCCTTCCAATATCACCTACCGTATCAACAGACAATCATCTGTTTGTTGTCAAGGTTATCTCTTTTCACATGAAGAGAAAACTTTTAAAAAATGAAAATATGAATGAATGAACAATCCTATTTCATTAGTGAACTAAAGTTACATCTACATGTAAATGCAAAGCATTTCATTTTCTGCTTTTTCTTAATTTTAATGTTATTTTTAAGAATGCTGCAAAAGATTGATCTCAACAGACTTGACATAGTTATAATAAATTTATCGTTGACTGAATTTTTAAGAAAAACATTGTACCGTTATAATGCCCTGACTCTTCTATATACAATCAGGTAAAAGCCGACGATGGAGCTAATGAAGGGTTTGTATTCCATGGCTCAGGAACATCATTGACTGACGGTTCACTGTCAAACTACGGCGGAGTGATATATGCTTATGATGAATCAGAAGTACTTTTGTGGCGACCGAGTGATGACAATACTAATGGGTATATTTTGTATATGGGAGGAGACCTCGGGGGCGGGGCTTACCCACAAATGTCGACACAGGGCGATGTCACGGTCAGCATTATACGAACATTGACACCATATGGTAAATCAATTAAATAATATTTCATATAGTCTAGTTCTGCATTTTCATTAGAAAGTTTTAATAAATCAGCTTTGTATATCAAGAGGGAAATTGTGGAGTTGGAACATGCGTCGGTAACTGGAGTCAGATAATTGTTGTATGTGATTGTGTTGGCACCGGACTAAGTGGACAGTACTGTACAAAAGGTAAAAGAAATAGTGATCATCTGGTTCAAGTCAATATTAAACATCTCAGAAATGCATGTATTATCCAAGTATTGCACTATACATTTCGAAATTATAGGTATTCTTTTTCTTTATCAAAAGATAATACATGTAACTTGAAATACATGATACATATTAATTTACGTATCAGAAAATTTACTTAAAATACAAAAAATCACTTTGATGTTCACTATAAATTAATGGTACCCAGTGTTAATTCATGTGTATTACATTAAGCCACCTCCCCTCCTCCAAGTTCTCTGCTAGCAGGAGTAAAGGATGAAGAGGAGTCCAGACTCCTACATCTTGGATCAAAAAGAAATCTGACGATAAACTTGGAATTTCCCATCGAAACAAGTCCAAATATAGTTGTGGTTATAAAAGCCTCATCTTCTAAAGAAGTTATGGCACTAGCAAGCGCCAGTGTAACGGGAAAAGGCAACAATATACAACCCTTCTCAACAAGACTTTACTACAGCTTTTCGTCTTCCTCAATGATTGTAAGATTTACCGAATGGTAGAAAAACTAGAAATTATATTTAGGAAACCAATAAGTTTTTTAATAGTAGTTGTATAATGTAATTCTCTTGCAGTACTTTATATTTTATTCATATGTATCTTATCACATTTTTTTGGGGGGGGGGGGGGGCGCTTTTTAGCCCAGTGTACAAAGAAAAACACTTTGTTTGAGAATGAACAAGGTACAATTTCAATACATGTTAAGCCCTGCATTTTCCTAAAATATGAAAGTTATACCGTGTATTAGAAATTAAAATATTTTCTTTCTGAATTATGGAAATTCCATGCAGTAAGAATGCAAAATCGTTTTTCCCATATGACCTCCTAAATGATAATTGTAACGTCATTAATTTGTTCATTTTCCAGGACTTCCCTAAACAGTTGCAGAAGATATCAATTTTCAGTAGAATTTTCTTTCAGAAAATATACTCTGCCTCCGCCGCCCACAAAAATTTTAGATATGTTTCTTTAAAGCAGTTTACCTTATATATTCAAAAGCTAAAGTGGGCGACGGTGGCGGAAACTATTTTCTAAAGGAAAATAAGCATAGAAACGAGTCATTCTGAGGCCTTTCTTCATTAAACTTGGAAATGTACCAAATTAATCAAAATTGTCCGTCTTCATGCCATATTCTATAGTGATTTATCATATTCATCTACTTAACTCTTGTTATAGCCAATTTCATAACTTTTTAAGAACATTAAATTTTTAGGGCACAATAAGCCCAAACCGTACCCCTTCTTTTTAGTTTTATTGTCTCTAAATATGCTATGTCAGCATGTACAGTTGACAGCATTTACGGTCATGGGTCTCCTTTAATAATATGTCTGATACCTATCTGTATTCTTGCAATAATATTTTTATTTTTTGTGGTTGTAATATTTATTTTTTCTTTAATCTTGTTTCTTTTATGTAAAACAGATCTCCATACCTATATACGCGTTGCTCAAGTTGGTCGATTTCAAAATTGAAATTATAGTGGAAATAATATTCTCTAATACTGTTTATTGGCAGTTGGGGAATTTCTTACAATTGAAATTTGTTTTCAAGCATGAAATGAATTTTCAAGCATGAAAACGTGAAACTATAATTATGAAATGAAATATGGAGATAAAGAACAGTTTTCAAGCTCAAATGCCAGTTCACAAAAATAAATCAAGGGGTGAACACAGACCTTAAAGAAAAACAAAGGTGGGATCATGTGGCATGGAGGAGTAAGTATCCTCTGGCGATCGGTCACACCCATTTTGTGCTCTTTGTCATGCATTGGCAACAGAAAAAGGTTGATTTATCCATTTTGTGAAGGTAAACCATCTTTAAAATAAATTATTGATCCCTATTCAAACCCAATAACTAAATCTGATGTTGGAATTATAAGTTAAAACATATTTACTTCCATAATTTACGAAAAAAAATCACTAAAAGGAGTAAGGCTAAACTTTCGTGCATCAAATTTTAATTGTGCACAAAAAAATCAAGCTCTGGGATCATAACTGTGGATTTTTAACCTTAAAATGTTAGATTAAAAGGTAGCTAAACCAAAGCCTGCTTAACAATCTAGTAATTCACATTTCATTTTTTTTTTCAGTCTGGGTTTTATTTTATTTTCTCTGGCAACTTGTCCTTAGGAGATATTGTAAATTCTGGATCTTCAAACATATACAGAGATAATATGGTTACTATAATTTCCGAAATCTTTGTACAATCCATTAATGACGTCACTAACGGAGAGCAACACAAAGTGAATGTCATGATTCTAGTGGATGGAGTCGGCGTCTGGGGAAAAGACATTAGTTATATCATCAGCACATGCATTCTGGTTTGTTTTCTTATAAAACATCTAATATACTGTGTATGTTACACATAATTATCTAATTATCAGTTCCAGTAAATTAAAATTTAAAAACAATCTAAAACCAGAATTAACTGAAACCAAGATGCACTCGTGAGCAATTTAAAAGATTCACCATGGGTTGATAAAATCTACCTAGCTTTCTAACTATTGTGTTTATTTTTAGACTCCAATTAAGACACCAGAAATTTACCCCCGCTATCCATCCACCTCCTACCTTGAGCGCGGCACCATGACTCGGGTCACTGTGGACCTGTGGATGCCGTTGGCTAACCCTGACATTGTGGTGATATCCAGGAGTACCACGGGGGGAGAGGACACCAAACTCCGGGTCTTTCGCGTGGCTGTCACAAAAGTCGGAGAAAATTATCAACTTCCTGTAAGATATCACCTTATCTTGTGAGAATGGCTGGACATTAGGAAAATGTATTTATTTTATAGAGTTTAATATTTTTATTAAACTCCAACAATATTGATATAATTGACTGATCATAAATGTTTGTTTGTTGTTTGTATAAAATATCCTGCAATTTTTTTAAAAGCATCCTTTACCTTAATTTTTTAAATAAGGCAAACTTATTACAAAAAGATGTATGTTCTTTTTCATAATTCATATTATATATTTACAATGTCTACATTTTGCAAATTGTAAACGTACCGCATTGGGATTCAAACACAACAGTAATTCACATATACACTGTAGTATTACCCACTATAAAAAACATTTCCTTAATAACAAGGCTGGCTTGACCACACTTATGAAGTATTCTGATTTTATGTGGATTCACAGACTTCCTACAATAAGGGCGGTGCCAAAAGTATTATAAATTTCTAGTGAAGAGTTAGGACTTTTTGTAATTTTTATCTGAAGACAAGCAGAGCAAACATTAGTCATGTGAGCTTTGTGGTCCATGGGCCTTTTGTTGAAATACTTGTTTTCTTTCAGGTTATTCTAGAACGATATAATGTTGTTGGTACAGTTTGTAGTGACGTCACTGGAAACAAAACTCTCTACCTTACATTTCCAACACATTTTGCTAACAAAGGTTGGTATGGATTTTCATTAAATGTCATTTTAGTATAGATGATACAAATAAAATTTCATCAAAATCTTGAAAATAAGGAAAATAGTCATCCTTATTTATTATACCCCCCGCTAAAGTGGGAGGGTATATAGTAATCGGGATTTCCGTCCGTCCGTCCGTCTGTTACGCTTTATCTCTTATCCGCAACTCCTCTTACACTACTGAGTGAAATTTAATGCAACTTTCACAGAATCTTTATTACATATTACCATTGTGCACCTCCTATTTTACTTTTTTTATTCGACACGTATTTTACGTTTCCCATAGCAAAACATGGACATTGCCATTATATGTTTACCTATGATGTCACATATAGAAGCTTCTGGATAACATTTGATAGGACGAGTTATTCCTCTTTACACATTACCGTAAAACAATATATAGCAAGACATGGACATTATGGGAGGCTGGGGGTATCATTTAGTGAGCTCATTGCTCACAGTACCTCTGGTTTACATTTGCATACGTTTATCCACATAGATTTGTTTATCCACATAGATTTGAATACGTTTACATGACGATACTATAAACATATCTAATTAAATACATATATATATATATTGTAATTTATCATATTTGTTGTTATTGCAAACAATGAATTCCTTTCTTTTAAGACTGTAATCTGTGAGTTTTCTGTTAATGAGATTTGGATTTCATGACTTAATTTGTTTCCTTTGAAAGATAAAAACGCAAAGATGAGATAATATCGCCATTCAAAATTCACGTAGACAATGTTCCTCGTTAATATAATTATGATTTTTTTTACAAGAATAAAGATCAACACATTTTCTTATGCAATTTTCAACTTTTTTTGCAAGCCGGCCACTGTCCGATTCAAAATTTGCCACCCAAAAATTGTCTTTTCTTTTAAGGGCAGATGAAACAAACAAATTTTTTCGTTGGAGGAGACTTTATATCATGTCTCAAGTTTAGAAATGTGGATAATTCTTAGAATTTTTTCTCCAAAAAACTGGAAAACGAAATAGACTTGGAAAATATTAGTAATATTTCAATAAAATTACAAATATGGATATAACACACTCAGTAAAGGTTTACAGATGAATATAAATTTTAGAATATGTTATATTGGTGCTAAAAGTGTAATATAATCTTTAGAAAAGTATACCAAGCCAGGTGAATTTTATCAGGAAAAGCAAAATGGTAAAAATTACCCTATATGATATTGATGAATTTTTGTCATTTTGTTTTTCTTCCTAAAAATAACCTGGCTTGGTATATTTTTCTAAGGTTTATATTGCAATTTTAGCACCAAGATAACATATTCTGAGAGGATCACTTCATTATAAATAGGAATCTGACCTATAGGACCGGGCTTACTTTTTTCTCTACAAAAAGCTTGTCGATTTCCGTTCCAATTAATGACATTAGGCTGAATACATATAATAATTTGGTTTTTTTCCCTTAATTTTTATTTCAGTTATTAGAGGTAGGAGGAACCCTTTCATTGATTTTCTGAGTTTGTTATCTCCGTATGTACTAATTGATATTTGTCTTTACTTCTCATGGTTCATAAAGGTAGTGTCTACTGTGTCTGAAATTCTGTTCTTTATGTCTACGCTAATTATCCGTGGATATAATAAAACATTTCATTAATGTATGCAAATTATATAGGCATAAATGAGAACCAAGGGAGTGCCTTTACTGAAATATGTAGCCAAAATCAATGTGATTAAATTCTAAGGAATATATACAATTGAAATTCACAGCAGCTTAATGCTGCCAAGAATACCTGTATTGAGTAACACATACAGGTGAAACACAATATAGGGCGCATTAAGAATACCACATTGTTATACATGATTTTTAGAAATGTTATTTTCTTTACATGTTATTTATCATAATTCATTTATAGGCATACTTATAAAAGACTTGTGTGCAAAATTTTGTTGATCTAGCCTTAACAGAAGTTAAGTAAATGCAAAAAATGTACCCCAAAAATGACTTTTTTTCAGCGTTATGCGGTTGCACTTTGAAATTACAGCATTTTTCAATTGAAATAATTGTTAAATATCATACATTTTCATGCCAGTGATCATTATCAGACTTTAGAATTTATTTTACAAATTATTTTGGTGCTCGAATTTTCAGGATTGAATAACAACTTTTGAAGATATGAAAGAAAATGTAATAGGGGTGCAATGTTATACATTTTTCACATGAGTTTAACCCTCTCATTATGCCAAATAAAAATAATGTCCCTATCATTTATTTCCTCAGATTTCTGTCTAAAATCACAGTATTAATGTTCTGTTACTTACAGAAAAAAGTTGGGTTAATGTAACACTTGTAATGAAATTTCATCATGTTTTAATGTGGACAATTAAGTTTTTACAAAAACTGTAATGTCCGTAACCACTTTAATTCTGTGAAATTGGAAGGCTTTATAAATATCTTTAAGTTAACTAATTCCCTAGACTGGCGTCTCGTATAGATGCTGAGATGTGTTGTAATTTTCCTGATCATCACCACTGTTTCTCTGTTATCATCACAAATGTGGTTACGGACACTACAAAACCCTGTAGTGTCCGTAACCTATACTTGAGGCAGTTTGAAACAGGCGGTGTTAAAACACTAATGCTAGTTTTCATTGTTTAAGGCAACTGGTGTTACATTTAAGAAAATCTTTGTTGAAATTCCTCTATTTAAGGTTAAGTTTCATCCTATTTTAAATAATTTGCAGAGTGTGTAGTGTCCGTAACCAAAAGTTGAAAATGAAATATCTTTATTTTTTCTCCATAAAATTTACAGAAATTTTTTTGAAACAGTGTATTATTAAATTTAGATATAAAAAGATGTTTATTAGCTGGAATTCTTTTAGATCATTTGGTTTTTTTCTTTACTGCAAGTACTAAAATAATGATTGGACACCCACAATGACATATAAAAATAGTCAGAAATTATTACCATGTGTTACATAACCCATATTTCTTGTGATATATTGCTTCATTTGTCTAGTTGCTCATTAGGTAGTATCTTAAAATGTGTTAAATGCAAGTAAATTTGCATTCAAAATGTTAAACAGTGGGGAAGTAATTTGGTTACGGACACTACAAAAAATTTCAAAATAGAAAACAACTAAAATTATAAAAAATTCAGATAGAGTATAGTATATTTAACTGTCTGAAGAAAAAATAGAATGCTTCATAGAATAAAAAAAAATAATTGAAGAAATATTAGTGAGCTTTATTCTTCAAGGTTTGACTTTTCTACTTGCACATAACACCTGTATATTTACGAGGGCCGTTCAAAAATTACGCGGACTGTACTATTGTTTACTCTTACAGACGTCATATAGTTATGAAATTTCACAGAAATAACTATCTTAAAGATTCCAATAAATTTTGGGCAAAATTTCTGTATTTTAAAAAGAATCCACTAAAATTATCGGTATATTGATATCACTGATGGAGAGGTACGGAGCACGACAAAAAAATTTAAATTGTTCTATTATTATGTATTAAGATTTCTGACGTGATATTTGAAGTACTAACAGTAATATAGTGATTTTTCTCTGATGTGATTCCCGTGAAAACGACTGTGAAAATGACGTCTCCTGAATTGACGGCGCAGCACACTTTTGGTAAATTATGCGTAATGCTCGAGATATCGCCAACATAGATCCAAAATATGCATAATAAAACATGTAGTAAACTAGGGTATTCGTGAGATTCGTCCACAAATGGCAAATTGAAATTTAAGACCGTTAGACCTCTGTAGACTATACGGGAGGACGGGGGAAAATTATCGATGAAAACTTTATCTGGACTGTAAAGAATGTGTTTGAGAGTCACCAATATCACACTATATCTCATAAATACCTGCGGTTTTTGGTTTTTAAACAGAAAAAGAATATTATTTACTTGTTAAATAGATTTTGAGCTTGACAAAAATGGTGTTTGGATGTTGAGTAGATAAGGTAACTTAAACTATACAGGTACTCTTGGGAAAATGTTGAGAAAATGAAAGCTCAGTCACATAATTTTTTATAATGCATGTGACGTCGAAGATTTTCTGCTCCGTGACTTAATGATATGTCCTGAAAAATCAGTCAAAATTGATGCCAATTTACAATATTTTGATATGAAATTTTGAAGACCATATAAGTAAAGATTCTTTAATATTATGTTGTGACATTTTGCCTGATTATGTCGTCAATTTTTTTTTTGTGTGCAACAAGTCCGCGTAATTTTTGAACGGCCCTCGTAGTTACATGTGTATATATTTATTCAAAGTATATTGGTTATGGTATGCTTTTAGCAGATGAAGTTGAGATCTGAAAAAAAAAAAAAAATCGGGAGAAACTGAAACGAGAAATAAAATGCTGAAAAAAGGGCTGAAAAACAAAACCTTAATCCTCAAGCCTGTGAAAAATTAAAGTATTGTGTAGTGTCCGTAACCCTTAAATTTGGTTAATTGACTTCGTTGATCAGTGTACCTACATTCTAAATAGTTTTCATAAAACTTCAATGATTTAGAGAACTTGTCTTCTGTACTTTAGTTATATAGTTATGTGAAAAAAGGAAGTTTCAGGATTTCCTATAGTGGATTTTTTTCTATCGGCATTAGTTCTGCAAGTAAATTGTTTACGTGAAACAATATCTAATTTGTATGTACTTTGTATTTAATAATCAATTAAATCTGATTTATAATAGTTCAGAAGTTTATAAAATGTTTGTTTTTTTACCACAAACCAAAAGCCAATCATAAATATTTGGGTTTTGTAGTGTCCGTAACTTAATGAAGCTATATAATTATTTTAGAAAATTTATGAAAATGAAATTTCCTATTTTAATGGAACTTATTTTATATGAATTTATATTTCAACAAACGCATAAAAAGTGTTCTTTATAAATAGTTTTTTCTTTATTTATACTGGTTTTAAAAAGTTCACATGAAATGAAATACTACCATTTTAAACAAAAATGTACAACGTAAGAACTGTTTTCATTTTAAAGTATAATGCCACCTTTTATAGTCAAACTTTTGTCCATATTTTATATTTTTATATGTTGTTTGTTTGTGAGCAGTTGAAAAAAATAGAGCTTATAAAAAGTTTTCAATATTTATTTCAAAGAAAACAACACTTGTAGTGTCCGTAACCTGTGAAAATGAGGTCATTATCAGCTTGTAAAAAACAAAGTTCTAATGTGAATTTCATAAAACAGTTTAAGTTTCAGATCCTTTAGACACTCTACTTTTTAGAAAAAATATTTTTTGGGCAAAATAAAGACCCAAGTGCAACCTTACTGTTCCCTATATTGTGTTTCACCCGATAGTGAGTTATTCTTGTCCTCGGAGAAAGTGTGCTTATACTGAGGTTCGTTCCGCCTGACTGACAACTGTACATTGAATTGTTGCGATTTGATATTTCTCTAGTGTTTCTTATATCAAAAATGGGCGTGCATAAAGGATAGATAATTGAAGGAAAAATACACAAATCTATATAAAAAAAAAATTTTAATAGTCTTTGAAAAGGCGAAAATTAAAAGTTTCAAAGTGTTGTACCACGTGGATTCGAACCCCCCCCCCCCCACTTTAAAAGAAAGTATTTAAGTTGTAAAAGTCAGCACTTATATCAACTGAGCTAGTCTGACTATAAGAATGAATGTCAGAAATTTAAAGCAGGTTATGAAAATCAGGTTTCCTTATTTTTTGTAGTTTTTTTGTGAATTTCTACCCCAGGGCAGGGGTGCCCCTTAAAAAAATCTTATCTTAAAATATTCCTTACATCCTAACCTATCAAAATATCACAATTTTATTTAGGGGCAGGCCTGCCCTGAAGGACTTCAAGGCCAAAATTCATGCAAAAATCAACGTTTTTACGGACAAAATGGTGTTTAGGTCAACTTTGGAAGTTTATTGTAAAGTTGTAAATAATAAATTTGAGGTATAAAATACAAATTTGAAAAATTTAGACATATATACAGTAGAAAACAACAAATAAAGATTGGTTTTTAAATGTCGTTTTTTCCGGGAAATTGTTCTCTCCTATAGGTCAATTCTTTTGTTAAAGTGAATACATCCTTTGTAATCACCTGTAAACCTTTACTTGTGTGATTTGTCTATTTTTGTTTTTTTATTGAAATATTACCAATATCTAACAAGTCTATTTCATTTTCCAGTTCTTAGGATAAAAAATTCTAAAAATTATCCACTTTTCTAAACTTGTGACATGTTATTAAGTCTCTTTCAAAGAAAAAAAATTGTTTGTATTATCTGTCCTTAAATACAAATGCACGGCTTATTTTATATGAAAATTTCCTGAATTATCCAGCAATTTCAGAGTGTATTTTAGAAAATTGTCGAATGCAAAACATTTATTTGCTTCTCGCTGCTCCTTAATGCAATATGATCTGCGTTTTTGACAAATTCATTTTGTTGTTAAAATGTGATATAATGATTAATTTGTATGTAATTCAAACCTTTATGATCAATTAAACCAAAATAAAATTTTTAATTCTTTCAGAAGAAAAATTTCTCTACAATTGAATATATAACATTATATAAGAAAACAATACACTGTATTGTATAGGATGACAAAAATGTAATTTTGCTTCAATCAAAGCTTATTAAAAGTTCTTCCATTGCAAATATGAACAACAAAAGTTGATAAATGTTCTATTTTTCTGTCATTGAAGTTGTTGATTACAAATTTGCAACAAATTTTTCCCATGTCAAACTTACAGCTCATATTGCTTTAACAACCGTCGACGTTATTTGAAACTTAAGAAGTTGTATCATTTGTAAGAATAAACATTCATTTTATTTTACGTTGATACCTTTGAATCCATCCCTGTTTTATTTTACGTAGATGCCTTTAAATTCAATTAAACCAAAATAAAATTTTTAATTCTTTCAGAAGAAAAATTTCTCTACAATTGAATATATAACATTATATAAGAAAACAATATTGTTTAGGATGACAAAAATGTAATTTTGCTTCAATCAAAGCTTATCAAAAGTTCTTCCACTGCAAATATGAACAACAAAAGTTGATAAATGTTCTATTTTTCTGTCATTGAAGTTGTTGATTACAAATTTGCAACAAATTTTTCCCATGTCAAACTTACAGCTCATATTGCTTTAACAACCGTCGACGTCATTTGAAACTTAAGAAGTTGTATCATTTGTAAGAATAAACATTCATTTTATTTTACGTTGATACCTTTGAATCCATCCCTGTTTTATTTTACGTAGATGCCTTTAAATTCAATTAAACCAAAATAAAATTTTTAATTCTTTCAGAAGAAAAATTTCTCTACAATTGAATATATAACATTATATAAGAAAACAATACACTGTATTGTATAGGATGACAAAAATGTAATTTTGCTTCAATCAAAGCTTATGAAAAGTTCTTCCATTGCAAATATGAACAACAAAAGTTGATAAATGTTCTATTTTTCTGTCATTGAAGTTGTTGATTACAAATTTGCAACAAATTTTTCCCATGTCAAACTTACAGCTCATATTGCTTTAACAACCGTCGACGTTATTTGAAACTTAAGAAGTTGTATCATTTGTAAGAATAAACATTCATTTTATTTTACGTTGATACCTTTGAATCCTTCCCTGTTTTATTTTACGTAGATGCCTTTAAATCCATTCCCCTTTTATTTTACATAGATGCCTTTGAATCCACCACTGTTTTATTTTACGTATATGCCTTAATTTAAATCCATTCCCCTTTTTACGTAGATACCTTTAAATCCATCCCTGTTTTTTTTTTTTTACGTAGATTCCATTAAGTCCATCCCGTTTTAGTTTACGTAGATTCCATTAAATCCACCACAGTGACTGTTTTATTTAAGTAGATGGCTTTAAATCCATCCCTGTTTTATTTTACATAGATGCCTGTTAATTCCTTCCCGTTTTATTTCACGAAGATGCCTATAATTCCATTCCCGTTTGATTTAACGAAGATGCCATTAAATGTTTTCTCGTTTAATTTTACGTAGGTACCCTTCAATCCATTCCTGTTTTATTTTACGTAGATGCCTTTGAATCTATCACTGTTTTATTTTACGTAGATTGCTTTAAATCATTTCCCGTTTTATTTTACGTAGATGCTTATAAATCCATTCATAATTTATTTTACGTAGATGTCTTCTGTTCTCGTTTAATTTTAAATCCGTTAAAATCCATTCTCGTTTAATTTTACGTAGATGCCTGTAAATCCATTCACGTTTAATTTAACGTGGAAGGCTTTAAATCTATCCCCGTTTAATTTTATGTAGTTGCTTTTGAATCCACTCCCCGTTTTATTTTACATAAATGCATTTGAATCCACTACTGTTTTATTTTATATAGATGCCTTTAAATCCATCCCCGTTTAATTTAACGTAGATGCCTTTAAATCCATCTTTCTTTTAATTTTACACAGATACCTGTGAATCCATCCCCGTTTTATTTTACGTAGATAGCTTTAAATCCATTCCCGTTTTAGCTCACCTGAGTGGGACATTGAAAAATCTTCTCAAGAACCACTGGGCCAGAAAAGCTGAAACATAAGTGGAAGCATCCTGAGGTACTGTAGATTCTAAATTGTTCAAATCATGACCCCCGTGGGTAGGGCAGGGCCATTTTATAGGGAATACAAGTTTTACATTGAAATATATAGGAGAACAGTGTAAAAATCTTTCTCAAGAACCACAGGACCACAAAAGCTGAAACTTATGTGGAAGCATCCTTGGGTAATGGAGATTCTAAATTGTTCGAATCATGACCCTTTGGTATTGTCAAGGTCAAGATTGGTATTACATCCATCACTATTTATTTTACGTAGATGCCTTTAAATTCATCACTGTTTTATTTTACGTAGATGCCTTTGAATCCACCCCCGTTTCCAGCAGAGACTTGGTCAGACTAGAAACTGTCGTGTACATGGACAAGGAATCTCAACTAAATACCAGATATTCACTGGAATTCGTCATTGTCGTCGATGGTGTTATTTTATGGAATTCAACGTTTAATTTTATTTCTTCGAATTTTCTCTTAATTCCGGTAAATCCTATTAACATTCTAGGTTGCTTTGTATCGAAGTCTTCTGAAAATGAATTTTTGCATCCATACAAGTTACATAGAATAATACTCAGTGCATTGTTTAATATGAAACTAAGTTGTTTTTAATATTAATTGAAACATTTATCAGTTATAAATTACCAGTATTGTGTATTTAAGTCTTTTGAAAATAATTTTGCATACTTTAATACATAGAAAAATATTTCAGTGTATTATTTAATATGGAAATGATTAGTGTCTATATTTCAAAGCATATTCATGTATACTACTAGTATTTATTTAAAGCGGCAATAAGGCTGCAAATCGTGTGCTTTTTCATTCAAATTTACCCAATATATCATTCAGGAATAAGGTAAAAAGATGTTATATTAATCTCCCAACTAATTTTTTGTCAGGTAAGTTGCTTTTTAATTTCAAGCCCTATTTTCGTTTAATTCGTTTTGGTCGACTTTGTCAATGTAGCAGGCCTACCGGGCTTCCCTCTCTTACCATGCTGTTTTGTTTATGAAAACTACGCATGCGTGTATAGCATGGAATGTGGAAACCGAACACGTTGCGATGTAGATATTTATGGGCCATAAATAATTATTAATTTTAATGAAATAATCAGAATTATATACTTATGAAACTTATGAAACTTACTTATGAAACTTGTAATTTTCTGAAAGTGTATACATCTATGAGTATGAAAAAAATTCCAAATCCTATACGAAAATTTTAACAAGTCTGTTTTTGAAGAGATTGTCACTTTAAGTTTGTATATAGTTTTGAAATCAATGATAATTATTTATTTTTTGACATAAATAAACATATATGAAAGCGCTTACGTTTTGGCAAGAAGTGGTGTTGCCCTTATTTTATTTTCATATTGATTACCGAACACTGTGATATATATACATATATAGAGCCCACAGATCATTTGTAATGTAGGTCATACAGAGAATGAAGACCCTTCCCTATAATGATTTGCTTTCAACTGGGAGAGAGTTTACCTCAGATGTTAATTTGACATCATCACAATTTGGTGTGTATCAGTTTAATGTGACTCTGACGTCACTGAAATCAGGAGGACAGGGAGCGGCGGGCCTTCTTATCACTTCTGTAACCATTGGTAACACCGGAAGTAACGTCCTTTGTTCTGCTGTGAGTGTCTACTTCAAAAGATCAAACAATTCCAGGATTCAGAATGTGGCGGAGGTGACCCTGAATATTACAAACTTTGGATCCCCTGTCCCCTCAGCCACGGAGGATAAAGATTGGCTGATACTGAAACTCACCGCAATCCCCGTCCCTGTGTACACAAAATTAACTGAGGTTCATACCATTAAAATCAACACCAGTTCTGTCAGCTCCCAGTTCAACTACACTATTTACGGAGAAGTTCCATATGATGTATGTTTCATTTTTTCTATTCAAAACCGTTTTAATTGTCAAACATATGAATATAATATAATTCTCTTTGGTGTCTCTTTCAGCAAAATATGATGTACATCGTGGATATTTACCATTATAAGTCCGTTGCATGTATTTCCGAAAACCAGACTTTTGAATTTTTCATAAACATTACCACGGTGAAGAATAAAACTCCTGGACCGATGTTCATTACTTTACCCGTAGGTGACACCGTGTTCTCTGTTCAGGAATACAAGATTGTTCATGTCGGGGAGAACCTTTTGCGCTGTTTTCAGACAATCCAACTTGATGGATCACTTGATCGATACATGTAAGATAGGAATATGTTATGATGGCATACAAATGTCCCAAGTTTTTGTAATATCTCATGAACCTCAGACATGGTATTCACATCGATACGTGTTTTTCGTTTTCAAGTGATGCTAACGTTTGTCTTCAGAATGTTGTAGGCATAAAAATCATTAATATATGGGTTGAAATAATGATATTTAGATTTCATTAGCAAGAACTGTTCGATACTTGATAGAAACCAGGTTGCAAACTACAAAAGTATAATTCAACAAAGTTCCAATCACTTGAAAACCTTTGGAAGTTGATCATATTTATTAAAAAATAAATAGTTTTAAGGTTCCAGAGTTTGAGGATTAGGAATTGAGCTCTGTATTTTTATTTGTTTTCTGCTTTTACTTTTTGTATCTTCATTTGATCACCTGTACATATTTTTGTCTTGTAGTATTTATGAAGACGGTTCCTTTGGAAATATTAGTTTGGAATTTCCTCTGCTGTGTAATAATGAGGTCACTAGTGATACTGACGGCGATATTCTTACTATAAGGGTGGTAGTTAGTCTCCGCAAGGACGCACAAATTGGCGCGTCATCAGTGGAATATTTTACAGTCGAGATCACATCACCTGGCTTTTTACAGACTGTGACGTCATCACTACTTTTTACAGTGCAAATACCGGTTTGTTTGAGTTAAGAAATAGTGGGATTGTTAGTGAAATGTTTTTTTTTCATTTCCCTTTTTAATGATAAACAAAACTTTTCTTTCAGACAGTTTCACTTAGGCCTTTGATTGTTTATGGTATTGAGGTCCTTAAAACCTTCACAGATGTAATTTTATTTCCCTCAAAGTGTCGTGTAGAATATAGCATTGATGGCATCATTTACAGTACAACTAATGTAAGTATTGCACTGTAAGCAGAAATTATAAGCGTTTAGATCTACATGGAATGTAATTTTAATGTATTAGTTAATAGTTATTTTTAAGTATTAAATTGTAATAATTGTAACGGATATGCTTAATTAAAATCATTATGATTACTGTTGTATATCAAACCTTTCAATTTCGGGTCCATTTTGTTCTCGACATCCTTTTTATACATGTACGTATATTGTATTTTCAATAATTTTTTTGATTAATATTATTATCATACGTCTCTCTTATTTCTATTCCAGTTAATTTATGTCAGTGAAAACGCTTCTCACGCGGTGTATGACCTTGAGAGTAGATCTTTTGCTGTCAAGCTGCATCTTGCAGAAGCTGAACGAGGAAATTCGACGTGTTGTGTACTACACCGATTCCTCTATTTAAATAGTATGTTCAATGTTCAGTGTCATTCAGTGTGGTTATTAATATCTTTTGGGATTCAGATATTTGTTGGTTTTCACTAACATATATTTGTATAGATTTAAATAAAATGATTAAGATTACTTTTGTCTTTTGCGAATTCAGGACATTAATCCAATTTCGGTAAAATATTTCTATCAAAGATAACACCATTATTTAGTTTATCTTTGGGGATAAGGTGCTAGTGAAGGTTTGGCTATGCTTCGTCAACTTTATTTAAGATCTTTCATGTTTGCTAGGCTCCTATTTTGTATTGTTTTATGAACCTCGATATTGAATACTGTTCGTTATCTCTATATCCTTCATCACGCATGGCAGATGTATTCCTTCCTTGTGACAATTTTTTAAGGTCCACATTTTGACCACGTACCTCTGATCTTGGAGTTTGACATATTTTGAAAAAAAAAAGGCAATTACAGTGTAGCTGGTATATGATCCACGCAGTAGTGTTTTATAAGCACATCTTCTTTAAAATAAAATCTGAGGCTTTAAATGATGCAGTTTTTGGACTCATCTTAACTTTGATAAAGGATAGAATAATACTTGTCTGTCAAATATATATATATATATATATATATATATATATATATATATATATATATATATATATATATATATATATATATATATCACTGTTAAAATAAACTAATATTAATACTGAGACCATATCAGTTTAAGTACAATAAAATAGAAAATATCAAGTCTTCAAGATCATTTACTAGAACTAGTAGTCATTCTGTAAATATTCATTACATCACATCATAATGCAATTTCTATTTCACAGTCGAAGAAAGTTTGCAGGTTTTGGGGGGTATCAGTGAACAATTGCTGCCTGGACTACCTTCAATTTTTGACCGGAACAACGACTCATGCATGCAACTTCCGGTCCAGGGGCACACTCCGCCAATTCTATGGATGCAGATAAATACATCAGTGTTATGGGGGTTGAATCCTTCTAGTTTTGTACTTAGCGTTTTAGGACAAGGAATTAATTGTAATAAACATAATAAGAAATCCGTACTACAGGTAATTGCAATTGTTTAAATTATATACTATATAAAGTACATACCTCATAACTGATATGTTCTGCTGAAAGCCTATTTGATCAGGAAATTTTAATCAATCGTTTATACTTAAGTACCGTAAATCTCAAATACTAGACAGTATTAGTATTGCAGATTTATGAGTGTTACAGCATTATGAAAATCTACAGTTGAACGTAAGAAATAAATATTGCAGATTGATTAGATTTCTCGTGTAATCATTTTTAAAGGAACCTCGTGTTGTTTTAGTATTATTGGTTTTATCCTAATATTTATATTAAAATCATTGAAACCTCAGGCAATGCTGATTAATGAATTTGATTCTTTTTAAACATTTAAAATCGAAATTTCTTTTGTGTAAGTATTGCTTTTCAAGAGAGCTATTCTAATGTTGAAAGTGCAGTTAAACATCACTTATCAGCTTTATGGATATTAGTGTTACATCCCTGTAAATATTTTTAATCTTTCAGTCTTTTTTAACCACGTTTTCACCATGCTTATGGGTAATCCTAAAACACTTCTATAAAACGAAAAACAAATGTTAGAGATTATAATTCTTATTTATTTATTAGATCTATGTTAAATATGTATATTTGAAAAATATATTTCTGTAATTGAAAGAAGATACATACCAGGTGTGAAGAAAATTTCAATAAATTTTAAACATGAACTCCTCCAAAGGAAGAAATTCAGTAATCCCATACTGTGAGGTAAACAATACCAATGAAACGCAAATATTATAACATAGTGTTCCCATTATAAGCTATTTTATAAAACATTCAAGATGTACATGTTGGTATACTTACGACTGATTTATCTTTGTTACAGGTGTACTACCCAACATCCCCTACGTCTGGAGATTTCCGCGGGGAAGTGACGTATTGTATACCACGTGACAGCGAATCATCTGGTCAGTGTATATATCTCTGTCCCTGTGCGGGGCCCCTCTGTTCAGTGGCTTACGTGTTCATGGCCAGCAGTGACATCTCATACAGCTGGACAGTTTGTGAAATATCGGCTGAAAATGAATGAATTTAAACACAGTTATAATTTCTATCCCTTAAACAAATTGTTGATGCTGTATGATATTGTATTTTAAATTAAGTTGTCTATAAAGTTATCAGAATTTATGCTTTAAGTAAATGCATATAAAGTTTCAAATGACAAGAAATTTTCATATTTAAATATAATAATTATTAAGTATAGTAATACATTTACTGTACATTTAAAAAATGGGGACAGAGGTACAATAAGTTGGAAAATTTAGTCCAAGAATCTGTAAAATGCAATGGTAATCGTACTGAGGTAGACAAAGAAAATCGACGCTGTTACCTGTTTTATTATCTGCCACCACTACATATTTCTCATGTTAGTGTCAACCAATATTTTAGTCACCTCTGAATTTCTGTATACAGAAGGATACTAGATGTTTCTTAAAACATTCATTACTGTAATGTCAATCCTTTGTTCTTGCTGTCTATATACATTTAATTGTTGCAGTATTATAATATTATAGAATAGTCTAAGTAGTGATATCCTTCAAATTTGAACTATAACTATTAATTAAAACATGAATACTTAGCAAACAGCAAGGATCGATATACATTGGCGGATCCAGAGGGGGGGGGGGTGGGTTCCGGGGGTTGGACCCCCCCCCTTATTTTTTGCCAAGTGGAGAGAGAGAGAGAGAGAGGATAAAACGCTTTCCAAGAATAAATATTTGTACGTCTAACTTATGTACTGAATAGATAGATTCTCACACATTTAGTTTCATCCATTCACCTTCACTAATGATATTTTTTATGAGAGAATGGTAGAAAATATTCTACTTATTTTTATATATCTTATACATGTATATGATATATAACATGCTTGGTTTAATTTGATATTAGATTCCCGTGATCTTTGGCTGTGTTGGTTAGATTTGTACCGTTTTTTATCATATCTTTTGAACGAATTAACATGTAACTATTTGCTTTAAACCCCACCCCCACCCCATCCAAAAAAGTTTTTCAAATTGTAAAAGAAACTTCATTGTACTCTTCGGAAATGCTGCAAATCCATTCAATTTTAAGGCTTCAGTAGTTTTTGAAATGTGTGTTACAACGCACTTTGAAAAATTACGCACTTTGAAATTTTTTTTCAAAGTGCATTAAATTTGGGTACAAGCTAACGCACTTTGAAAAAATCCAATTATGAAAATTCTTCCTCTCTCATACGTTTTACTGTACTTAAAAATTTGTAGTTTTCATCTGTTTTAATTAACTCATTAAATATTTAAAGTTTTCAGCGTCATACCAGTTATGTAAATACATAATTATATAAATGTTTTGTGTATAGCATAGACATCGAGATCGGGCGAAGGGCCATGGGAGGGGAGGGGGGGCTTAGCCCCCCCCACCCCACTTATTTTGGAAAGATATGTACATCGTATAAGCATTGAAGATGCAGCTTACCCTTTTGGGGTTTATTGCTCCTCTCCCCCGTTTGTTACCGACACCTATGTATTGGAAACATAAAGATTTGGACTGAGGAATCTTATACCCGTCTTCTCCTCTTTTCGACGGGAGTAAATCGATTCATAAGTTTTTTGAAAGATAAATAACAAATAAAATCTTTACATTACTAAAATATGATTTCATTTTTTTAAAGTCTTAAACTTTTTTTGCCAAGTATATTTTTAGTTTCTACATACATAGCTTAATTAAAATTCAAATCAAAAAATGGGGGTCAATGCGCTTCTTTTGGCGCTGCAGTACATTTATTATGACCTTTTCGCACTGAAATTTGTGTCTTAATTAAAAATTAAAGTTTTCCCTCCAATATTTTTATCCAATTAAAGCATGAAACAAAATGAACTCTAAGTTTGTTTAAAAAAAGACACTTAAAAATTGTGACTAAGAAAAAGTTTCAAATTGCCTCGCAGAATCAATTATTTGACTTTTCTGCACTAAAAGACAGTGATTTTTCTGGCATTGAAAATTTAATAAGCAAGAAAATTATTTTAAAGTTTTAAACTTTTTCTGATTTTAAGCAAATAGGTCAAATTTCTCTTGAATATTTAGAAAAGAACATCAAAAATTGGGGTATATGATGTAAATTTTCAGATATTACTAAAAAAGTGTCAATTTTACGTTAAAATTGGCTCCATTTTTTCACGGATTTTCGGAATATATTTATTATATTTGTCACAGTTTATTGATAGAATTTATAAGAAATAATTTAATAGATATTTCAGAACCAGCATAACACATTTCACTGCGAAAAACAGCTTTGTGTGCAACCAAGATGGAAAAATAGGAATCTAAAATCAACAGTACTGTTATAGTTCACAATGGAAAAACTGATCATTTTCGTCTAAAAAACCTTCCGCCACAAAATATAGTCCCTAGCTTAATTCTACTTGAATGGAATTTAATCGCGGTTTTTTCATTGAATATATTTAAATTTGCACTGTAGAATTCGGATTTATTGTTAGAACTTAAAAATGATGCAGAATTTTATAAATAAAGGACCTGACCAAAATACGCTCAAAATCTCAGGATCGAACGTCCTTAAGGTAGGACAAAACACCCGTGAATTCTATTTTAACCCAGTTCTTAAAAAGTACTGGAGAAAAAAAGAATAATAATACTATATTGATAGCAATGAATGATCCCTGTAAGAAAAATGATAGGTTTTGGCATGTTTGCGTCATATTTTGTGAAAAAAACAAAGAATCCTAGATATTGGTCAGTTGGGAGCTTACATTTTGGAATGTGTTTACGCTATCTAAGCGCAATAAACAAGCATGTAATAGTCTGTTATAAAATGCAGGAAAACATTTGTTCCATAAATAGTAGAGGGCTGATATTTGGACACATATATAAGGAGTCTCCATTCTTTATGTACTACGAAGGTCAAAGTCATATCAAGAGGTCAAAGGTCATATATTGTGACGTCATCTACTGAATCTTTTAGTTATTTTGCCATTGAATTTTTTTAATTCGCCAAAATATCTGAAACCACCGGTTCCATTTTCTTTATTTTTACACATTTTATTTTAAGATCCATTTGAATCATTCTGTTGACTTTTTGTAAAAATTGAATTATACATTTTCTCTAAAGAAAACTTAAACTGTCGGATATTTACATGTGAATTTTCAATTCGCTATGTTTGTTCTATTTTTACTTCAGATTTTTACTCATATTTCCCAGTATCAATATGACTTACTGATATAAAGTAACAAAAAGGTTATTCTTATTAAAATTATGACACAAATTTGCAATAGATCGATGGATAATTCTAAAATAAGGCTAATGCTCTTGTCGAATGTCTGATTTCACAATCTTCTTACGGGGGTCTGAAAGGCCATATTTCAGACTATGTGGGCAAAAAATGTGTGGTTGAAATTTTTTCATATAATATATAAAGAGAGATTTTGTATCCTAGAACAAAATATCAAAGTTTCAGAAAAATTAAATTTGAGGGAAAATTTGGCCTATCTATTGTGTCCTACCTTAAGAAGACTTTTTTATCTTTGGGAATGGAATGGCTCACTATAGCCTTGAGTATTTGTCCTTATCTGGATAGTATATTGAACCTTCTTGTGGTGATAAGGAAAACTTTAGAGATAAGCTACAATGTCACCTATGTTACTATATTTTTCTTTACTGTACAGGAGTTGCTATACAATGTATCCTGAAATGTTAAGTTTTCTCTTGAAATGAGGCAGGACGAGGCACTTTTGTCGCGTGGAAATATTTTCCGTGCTTGTGTGTATGCTGTAGTCTTTCTTGTTTTGTTAGAAATATCAATAAGTGTATCTTTTCTAAAACAAGGCACTTACAGATTGTTAAAATCATACGAGGTTTTGAAAAAATGGGATATTTCTCGTTTCACTCTGATTTTGGCGGCGTCCCAAAATGAATGTGACTGGATGGTGAATGCTACCATTAAAGACCTTCAGAGAATTCTGGAGAGTGAGTGTCAACCAGTCAGGGTGTGTTCTATAAGTCCTCCTGCTCTTGGTGAGTTCTGTATTTAATATGGACAAAAAATGTCAGTCTATTAAAATGTGCTCTATTAGTTCACCAGATCTTGGTAAGTACCCTATGTAATGTGAGCAGGCAAATAAGTTCATTTAGATTCCCACGTCTTGGTAAGTATATTTAATGTGAGCAACAAACGTGTTCTAATAGTTCACCGGGTCTTGGTAAGTGCAATATTTATTGTGGGCAGGCAGTTGTGTTCTATTAGTCAGTTTACAATATCTTAATAAGTAAACTATTTATTGTAGGCAGTAAAATGATTTTTTAGCCGGGCTTTGCTGAAAGCAAAGTCTGGCTCTAGGCATCATGATCGACTGTCTTACTATAATTAGCACAGTAAACAAAAAAACCAAACAACGTCAAAGCAGACGCTTCCGATAAACAAAATAGTCCCATTGCGAGACGACATTCAAACAAATATTTTTAACATCACAATCATTGGAAAAGTTAATGATCAATATTTTTTGCTTGATATTCAAACTGAAAGAGAAATTAGATATTTGCTTTATTGGGATAATCGTGATATAACAATTTGTACACATACTCTGCTGAATGCATATTGTAAGCGAACTATTTTCAATAGCGCGGGCTTTTCGAAATGTTGAAATTGTTGAAGAGTTTCATGTTTCATATCGTTTTCGTCGATGTTAGGATAGTGGTTTTTATTCTGTTTTGATTTTTAGCAAATTAATACTATAGTGAATTGGAATTTTTAGAATGCGTGAAGTCGCTTGACAATGTACATGTATTCAGTGTTTCAACATGTCGTTGGCGATAAAAGTACTAGTACTGTTTGTTTGAAACTAAAAGAATGTCAAAAATATAAACATGTGCATTATTTTAACTGTTTGAAGACTGAATTTTTAAATTATGAGAAAAAATGCTTATTGAATAGGACATATGCGAGAATTTCTTGGAAACATTATTTATTTAATTTTAGAATCATAGCATATCTTGGGGTCTGGACTTTTAATTTTAATTACTGGTATACGGGATATTGTTTGAAACCATAATCATACAAGTTCAACCTGTTAAAAATCAGTGGCAAAAGGAAAACTATGTACTAATTTCGGATCAGACAACATAGTTACTCTAGCAATTTAAAGCCCGGCTTTCAGTTCTTTCAATAATTTGATTATATATTGTAGTTTCAAAATGTTTAAATCCCAAAGCTGGGGTTGGGCTACAGTTAAGTATTTCGATGTACATATTTAGCGAAATTGTGAGTCTTTAAAATTTTATGACTTGTAGTGGGGCAACTAGAAACATACAAAAGTGCACCACCCTATGAAGAATTGATCAAACTGTTCCCTCTTGTCAAGCCAGGAGGCCGATATACTCCGTATGAATGTATTTCCCGCGAGCGTGTGGCGATCATTATTCCTTTTAGGGATCGTGAGGAACACCTCAGGATTTTACTTCATAACCTACATCCGATTCTACAGAGACAACAGCTGGATTATGGGATTTATGTCATAGAACAAGTGAGTTGTGTTCAGCATTCCTATCAAGACCGTAGGAAGCAATTTCAGTTGGGGAAGGTGGCATTACCAAGCAAAAGTCTTTGACAAGAGTAGTATAAGCAGCCTGGATGGGGGTCAACTGAGTGCACTTTTTATGCAAATGAGGTAGAAAATGCTGAATTCTGACTGGTCAGCGGGATAGGCAGGTCAACTGAGTGCACTTTTGGCCCTGGGGGATAGCCGGGTCAACCAAGTGCACCCCCTGGGGGATAGGGGAGTCAACAGAGTGTACCCCCTGGGTCTGAATAGGGGGGTTAACTGAGTGCACTTTTAGGGCTGAGATCTGGAGAAACTTATTTTGTCAGATCTCAGGCTTCAGATCTGGAAAAACACCATTTAAGATGTGAGATCTCAGGCTTGAGATCTGGAAAAAGGCCGTTTAGGCCTGAAATCTGGAAAAACCCAAGACTATGAATACACAGACTTGGCAGCGATTCAAATCACAGCTACCTATGCATTGTGACGTCATAAACTTGGCAGCGATTCAAATCTTGATTATGACGTCACGTTAGTCCTTCACAGCCTCGGTGGCTGGTTATTTTGACACAACAACACAGAATTACACAGCCCTGGAGACTTCATGTAAATAACTGTATGGTCCTATGGATTTCAGTACTTTAACTGATTTTCAACCATTGTTCTTCCAACAAAGTTCTGAACAGCTGAATCCTGGATCAGGTCAGATGTTATTTCACTGGATTATTTAATGAATATTACTATACTAAATATAAACATGGTTATCTGGTAAGTGTCACATATATTTGTTTATACATTTTCTATGAAGGTAATCTTTGTATTTATCATTATTACTGTGTTATATACCTAATGTTTATAACATTCATATAAACACTGCCATGTTTACCCTAAAATACACTAGGACACTAAGAGATCCTCAAAATGCTGATAAATCCTTTAGCATGAGTTATGATATATTATCTCACATTCCTTTTGTTGGATCAGTATTCTAAATATTCTTATGAGGAGCCTCATAGCATATCTTATAAAATCCAACAACAACTAAAGTGACATTCTCAGTTATTATTTTCTATGAATCTTTTATCACAGTGAACAAATGAAGGATATTTAAGATAATCACTCAGATCATATTATGCCAGTGAATCTTATCTATTAGATCTATTAGTTCTTTTTTATGAAACATGCAGAATCTCTTGTTTTATTTGTTACTCATACTTTTACATTCTGGTGCAACAGTGGCCCAGTGAAAGTGGGAAAAACTCAGTCTGAGAATCTCTGTAAATTTATAAAATGTGTACCCCCCTTTTTTTTTACCTTCATGTATATACATCAGTTATTGATTAAGAGTAATTGGTTATGTAAAGTTCTGTTTATATGAATGTAAATGTGGTATTTATCCCCAGTTCATGTGATGTATAATCTGCATGTAACCCAGAGTGCATTTAATATTTCTATGAAAGGGCATTCTATGATTGAATTTAAATAAGAAAAAAATGTTTACTAAATTTTGGTTAGATACAATTTGCTATCTTTTACAAGTCTGTCCTGTTTGTCTAAAAATTATTGATTCACTTCAGTGTAAAATGAGGTTAATTGTTTATCACTGAATATGTATGATTTTCCAGGATCAGCGGAGATGTTGTTTCACTGGATTATCTACTGGATAGACTTATTGGGCATATAGTTGAATATCTGGTAAGTTTGTCTTGTTTTTTTTGTTTTTTTTTCATTTCCTATGGTCATCTTTGCATTTAACCATGATTATATGGTTTAATTTAATTGCTGTGTAATACTCATGTGATCTAATGTCTCTAACAATGATATAAGCATGCACAGCCTTAATTAGCCTAAAATATATTAAGGGATCTTCAGAATGTTAGTAAGACCTTTTGCATGAAGTATGATATGATTTCATAATTCCTTATGTCGGTCACCCATGGAATTCAGAATTACTAAATGGTGATGAAACAGATATTTACAATGTAATAAGAAAAAAGTAAGAATTTACAAAAGATTAATCCTAAGTCATTTACTTTTTGTCTTGCTTCAAAATATGTGTGACATGGCATACACATAGTTTCATTTTTTACACTTTCCTTTCTTAGTAAAGAGCTTTTCAAAACTGTTAGGACTACATGTTGTACATGCTTGTAATTTTTTGTATACTGTACTGACAGGTATTTCAAAAAATTCAATCTGCTGTTAAGAAAAAAAGTCTTTTAATGTCTAAATAATTACTCTGATTTTTTGTTATATCAATAAAGTAATTAACAAGTGTTTTTCTAAAGACAACATGATGTACTTTTTTCATCTTGAGTAAATGTTAAAGACATTTTTAGAGTATTTTTTAGAAACAAATATTTAGGTAATTGTTCAGAACAAATATTTTCATCCATTTTGGCATTATATTTAAACGTGCATTGTTTCATGTAATATTGTGTCATAATAACATAATGGTTTTCTTTCTACAGTCATCAACATTGAAGGTATGTTTTGTTCCTGGACCATCTATAATCAATTCTCTATCTGCTCTTCCTTTGGAAATACACAAACAATCAACCAACATAGAAACAAACAAACTTTAAGGTAAAGTTTTAATGGCACACAATTGTAATTTTTATTTTTTTACTATGCATGTTTATATTTTGAAATTAATTAAATTGATAAGTAAAAAATCAAGAGATCTGGTTGGTTCATGGTCATTTTAAACCAAATTGTTCTCCTTTAGAAGAAGAGCTCCATATAAAGATATAAAAAAAAATGATCAAATTTTGAAGCTAAAATGTATGACATTTTTCTTTGCCAAATGATTGTGAACACCTTAAGATAGCTTATCTAAAAATAAGTTATACATGGCTAATTTATTAACACCCAGCTTCCTTAATAGCATAGTTGGTAAAGATAGAAAGTTTTATCCCCAAGTGCTGATGGATTCTAAATTTTCATTGAATATTTACATTACACTACAGGGAAAGAATACTATAATGTGGCCTATCAGGATGAACAGTGAATAAATCTTATTGACTCTCATGACTTTGTCTAAAGGCTGTAACCTTATAGCTAATGTAAGATGATCTGATTGCATGGAATTAGAATTTCTTGGTGTTTCTACTACCAAAAATCTTCTTATGAGTGCATGTGGACCTTCTGTTGTTTTAATATACCTTGAAACATGACACTTTATTCATTAAAGGTACTTTCAGTATCATTTGTATCATTTCTATGAGCTTTTATTCTTTCTATTAATAATCTAGTAACTAGATGGTGTCATGAGACAGTAATACCCGCACTAAGGTTTTTGCCTCTAAATACACACTCCTTCATATTGGACTTTCCAAGGAAAAAGTCAAAATAATTCTATAATTATCACGGTACATGTATTCGTCAAATTGAGCATAAAATTTTCAGGTGACCATATGATCTATGAGCCTCATATATGTATTTTGTATACTTAATTCATTACCAGTCTGAAATGACAGACTTTAATTAATGAAGTAAATTACTTAATTAGATTCCGATAAATATTTTGCCCATAATTTGGAACTTTTTAAATTTACTTTCTCAACGACATAAAATATTATTTTAGTACAAAGCGTTTTTGATGAATTTATCAAAATGTGCAAACTGATTTTAGTATTTGGTCAGGAAAAAAAAACCATTGAAAATACAACCCAATTAATTTGTCAATGCCTATCTCTCATCCCCCCCCCCCCCCACCATCACCATCACACACACACACACTCTCTCTCTCACACATTTTTAAAAATAGACCTAGATGGCAAAGTTATTTTAAAACATCGTTTATTATGATAGTTTGAAATTTGTTCTTGTACTAAACAGTTTTACGTGTGAACATCCATTATCATATTTTTAGATATCACCACTCGGCACACCTCGGCCGATTCATACTTCATCTAATGAAGGCGACGGAATCAGCAAAGGTTTGCCGAATGAGATTATTTAGCACATGTATGCTGACGGTGCAGTGTGGTCAGTTAAAATCATTTGTGTTTAAGTTGGATTATATGGATTATATTTCATGAATTCGTTGACAAGACCTGTGACAATCGGTAAGTACAAGATTTAGTATAGATTGCATAAAAATAGATAAATGCAAATGGTTAGGTTGAAGTTCAAAAAGGGTCAAAGATCATCGCATGCCACAGTCGACAAATTCCACATTGTCAAGTTATCTCCCGTTGCGGACATTCAGTATATACAGGCACAGATCCAGAATTTTTTTTTCGGAAAGGGGGGGGGGGGGTGTCACACCTCAGTCAAAAAAAATCCAGCCCAAGATTTCCTGAGAAGCAAGCAAAAATATTTAAACAATGATGATGGGGTCCATGTTTTCTAAGGGCGAGGATGTTCAAAGTAATTTTATTCTCTTCAGTAAATAGTCTTATTTAAATAACTCTGCAAATTCCATGGGGGGGGGGGGGGGTCTGATCTCCCTAGCCACTGACTCTCTGTACCTGATCTTATGACTCCATAATAGTAGAAAATTTTTCCATTTGACTATATTTACATATTTTGTTTCCTGTGTTTATGTCTGTTTGTTTGTCCAAAGAAACTTTTACCTTGCCCATAAGTTTTAAGTGGATTTGGCTATACACACGGCTTCCATATTTCATCGGTAAATTTCTTTTGGCAAAACCTTTTAATGGGTACCACCAATTTTGAACTCTTGATCTCTTAACCTTGGAGTTTGACCCACTTTTACAAGAAAAATACCTTAAACTTGGCCTAAGTTTTGAACAGTTGGTGCTAGGACTTTCATGCTTAACATGTGTAATCATTGTGAACTTTAAACAGGTATAAATATTTTTAACCTTGACCCTAGAGTTGAACCCAATTTAATTTTAACCTTGGCAATAACTTTTGAACAGGTGAGGAAGTACTAGGGATTTCTCTCTTATTTTACATGTGTATTCCGTTGTGACAAGACTTTCCCTTTGACACCAACAATTTTGACCCTTTGACCTTGACCTTGGAGTTTGACTTACATTTGAGAAACTTCAACCTTTGCCAAAAGCTGCCATAACAGTTACTGTCACAACAAAGAAACAAATTACTAAGAAAAACACAGTATACATGCACATATTTTATATTCAACAGATTTACTTCTGGTCATATCTCTAGTTCTCCCTTGAATCAGACATGGTGATATGAAGATTTTAAAAATAATTATTATAAGAGCTGAAAAGGTTGTGCATATTAAAATATACAAAGCTCTGCGGATGAATTATAGATATACCAGTTTAGCTTTATTTTGCTTCCCAAACCACCTTGATTAACTATTTACAAGCATACTGTTTTCTGAAATGTACTGTTTTCTGTCGTCCATCTGTTTGTCTGCAAACTTTTCACATTCTTAATTTTTAAGAACCACTGGGCCAATTTCAACCAATTTACATGTAAATATGCAGGGGACTTTTTCCAACATAAATCTTCTTCTCAAGAACAGCAAGGACATTTACTGTCCCCCATTTTCGCTAAAGCTAGGGGACATTAAATCTCATTTGTTTGTCAGTCTGTCCATCTGTCACAATAAATTTAACCTTGGTCGTCATGGTCATATATTTTGAATGAGAAGACACGGGACTTCTATATTAAACATGTGTATTAGTATTTAACTGGGACAATACCATTCTAAATACACTATGATTTTTATTACCCATGACCTTGAAGTTTGACCTACTGTCATAAACAAATTAATTGTTTTAAATTGATCATTTTGAAAGATAATTATAAATGAAAGGGCATTCATATTATACATGCATGTATATTACCTGTGATAAGACCTTTCCAAATGTATCCTGACTTTTTGACTCTGTGACCTTGACCTTGAAGTTTAACTTACTTTTCAATAATGTTGTATTTCCTTTTGATTGAGAAGAGATACGACTTTCACATTTCACGTGTACATTACCCATAACAAGATGTTTCCCAACATGCTATGATTTTTTACCCCTTGACCTTGATGTTTTACCAAAATTTCAAAAGAGTGAACTCTCCCAAAAGAGAATCAGGCCAATGTGTAAAATGAAGTAGGAGTTTAGGGAAGTCGGGGCTTTTTGCATAAAGAACGTCATTTTTCGACCCCATTTGACCCCCCGGGGCAAAATCAAAATTCTGAAACCTTACTGCACATCTACTTGACACCACCAACCATCTCCCAAAAGATGATTAGGCTGCCGAGTAAAATGTAAGAGGAGTTCAGGGAAGACGGGGCTTTTTGCATAAAAAAACGTCATTTTCGACCCCCATTTGACCCCCTCCCCCGGGCAAAATCAAAATTCCGAAACCTTACTGCACATCTACATGACACCACCAACCATCTCCCAAAAGATGATTAGGCTGCTGAGTAAAATGTAAGAGGAGTTCAGGGAAGAAGGGGCTTTTTGCATAAAAAACGTCATTTTTCGGCCCACCCATTTGACCCCCCGGGGCAAAATCAAAATTCTGAAACCTTACTGCACATCTACATGACACCACCAACCATCTCCCAAAAGATGATTAGGCTGCTGAGTAAAATGTAAGAGGAGTTCAGGGAAGACGGGGCTTTTTGCATAAAAAACGTCATTTTTCGGCCCCCATTTGACCCCCCGGGGCAAAATCAAAATTCTGAAACCTTTCTGCACATCTACATGACACCACCAACCATCTCCCAAAAGATGATTAGGCTGCTGAGTAAAATGTAAGAGGAGTTCAGGGGAGAAAAGTGTGACAGACGGACGGACGGACAAACGGACGACGGACAAAATGTTATCAGAAAAGCTCACTTGAGCCTTCGACTCAGGTGAGCTAAAAAAGGTCAAGACTGTGGAATGATATGACTTTTATTCAAATGGTGCAGTACAGCAACTCTGGTGATTTACATACCTTCAGTCATAAATAGATAGGCATGGGGAAGACTCCTATAGATTTTGAGATTATCATTCAAAAGTATAGAAAGGTTTTAAGTTTGAATGATGCAATGGCAGCATATCATTTGCTTGTAAGTTTAAAAACAAATCCAAACATATACATCTTTGGATGATAACTGTTGAATTTTATCAATTCCTGGACTTTCGGTCTTGATATCATCCTTTAATTTCTTTAAAATTTCAATGATTGTCTTTTAGTTTTAGTTGAATTAGTTTCTTTTTGGCATGTTTAAATGACATCATCCAAAGAGGTTCATCTACATTTTATATGTAGGAGAGAATTTTTCGTCACAGGGAAAGAAAGAGATTGTCTTGAATATTGTAATGCATTGGTACACAAAAATTTCTTTCAATTTCTAACAGGTTTCATTTTTGTTTATATGGAATGCTAAATTCTGTTCTATAATAATATATATATAGGTCAGGCAGTTTGTCTTTGAATTCAGTTAGAAATTTTGATCATCAAAAAATTATATTTGACTGTATTAAAATCAGTAATTTTAGATAAACATTAAGAAGATTACACAAACACTGTACTTTTCCACTCTGGTTTTACA